CAGCCTGCCTGGAAAACGGCATGACCCTCATCCAACAAGAGGATGGATGCCCAGTTACTCCCAGGAAAACACACCTCCGTTGGGAGGAGTAAAAGAAGTGGAGATGCAGGAAAAGTCAGTCAGAATTGACAACACATAAAATCACAAAAATACACTGAAGCAAGTTACTATTTATTCAGGACTCAGATGCGTCTAATTGGAGGCATGAAATACCTTTATAGACTCTACAGTGGATTTGAGTTTCTCCTTAATCCCTTTGGGAAGAACAGGATCAAGCAGATTCTCGTCTGAATCTGGTCACACACTGTGAGGGATGATGACCTCCTCCTAGGGTTTCCTGGCAACTGACGAGTGCAGGCCGGACACAGGAAGGCTATTTTGGAACAAGGGAGCCCCTGACCCCAGAGGACCCCCGAGCCTCGGCACCGAGCTCTGGGGTGCCTGCAGTTCCAGGGCTCACTCTGGTGGACACTCTGAACCAAGACTAAAGGAACCCTAGAACCTCAACTACAGGAGCTTATTATTAGCCTTTATTTCTACCCGAGCCTCTCGAGAGCTGCTCTGACTTTCCAGAAAACATTTTCAAAAAAATATGTTAAGATACTCTTTCCCTGAGGCTGGCCAAGCAACATGGCTCAATCTTAATTCTGTAGCCCAAAGGCTTCAGCTTCTCTTAAGTATGGAGAGCAGAGAAAAGGGAGGAAATTCCTAAACACCTAAGAAAGAAATAAAAAAAATCCCTGAGCAATCAGTGATAACACCCCAGTGGGAGAGAGAAGCTGAATGTATTCAAAGCCTCAGACAGCATCTGGGGGTTTACATTTCAAATCAAATGAAAATGGTCACAGTTGTTTACACACACACAAAGACTTTCACAGGGAAAGGGTCTGATTCTCTGAGCTTTATTCCTCTCCCTGATCTGTAAGAGAGAGATAATTTCTCCCTCAAAAAATGTTAGGAAGATTAAATGGGCTTATGGACATTACAAAGCACTGTGGACACAGACTGACCTCAGACTCCAAGAAGAGCTATCAGCAAGCCCTTCACACCCTGAGCTCTCCTGCTCACTCATGACAGACCTCTGCTTACTCCCACAGGCCAAGTGTGAGCACAGGGTGGATTCCAGAGACCACACAGAAAGCAGCCAGACATGGAAATGCATAAATACTCAAAACAACCAGAAGAAAATATGTGAACTTACATAACAGACATTTAGTAAACAGCCATCATATGAAGAGGAGTTCCTACAAATCAATAAAGAAAACACCTAAGAATGAGGAAAGGACATCAACAGGAAATATGCATAAAGAATATACAGGCCGATAAATATGCCAAGAAGGTGTTCAACCTCACTAAAAATTGAGGATATGCAGATTAAAATAATGCAGAATTTATAAGCTAGTGTAGGAGTTGGAGCCCAGTGCAAAGCTCCTCCTTGTGGTATTTAAGGATCTCAAAGCATTTTGGTTGGCACCCATCTATTCAGCCTTAAATTAAGAAGGAGGAGTTGAGAAGACCTGCCCAGGTAAACAGAGCCCCTGGTCAAATTTTCTTACTTTTTCATTCTTAAATGTGAATAAGCAGCCAAGAAACACCAACCATTTGTGGAAAGTCTGCAACATGAAAAAGAGAAAAGTGAAAGCAAATGAGCAGACAAATATGCATTTCAGAGAATGAAAGAAAATTTTGCAAGAGTGGCCCTTATCTTTTAGATACACAGGGAAATCCTTGTGGATGAAATGACATGATAATCGGGATTCCACACCCTCCAAACCCGGCCAGAGTCCTGCTTCGGGATTTTTCAAACTGGAGCTGCATTGGCTCAGGAAAAGGAAGGAGGTGTGGGTTAGGAATACCCCTCTATAATAGAAACGCTGTGGAAATGGACGCCGGGGCCTTCCTCAGGGCAGGAGAAGTTGCAGCGAGGAAGGACTGTCTCCCCAAGAACCTCCGTGTCTACCTAATGAGTTCTGAGTGTTCAGCGTCTCCCCAAATCCTGTAAGCTCCCCCAGGATCCCCTCAGCAAACCTCTTCTGCAGTCAACACTGTTAAGGACGGGTTTCTGCTACTGGCAAGAACATGAGTCCTGAGAGCCAATACAGGAGTCAGCCAGGAAGGCAAGGATTCAAAGAGGTGAGGCTGCTGTTTCGGCTATTTCATACTTGATCCCTCCAACCTTTACTGAGGGCCAATCACACGCTAGGCATGGTTCCAGATGCTAGAAAATACAAAGGTGAAAGAGACATGGCCCACTGATCTCAAAAAACTAAGTCTACTATCACCAGAGTCTTAGAGAATATAACTGAGGGAACTCTTGTTCCACCAGAAGTTAACTAACATCTCAGAAGACAACATGGAGGTAAGTCAGTAGCTTCTAACAGCTTGGAAGACAAATGCACATTCTAAATGATCCTAGTTAGTTAAAACTAGGTTGGTGACATAATCTATTGATAAAAAGCTAGACATCTGAAGTGACTAGGCAAAAGTACAATGCAATACAAAAAAGGGGAGCCGAGAAACCATGAATAACACAAAAGTTAAAACACGTTACCACCTCAATGGCAGTGGGAATCTGCTGGTGATAAGACAAACTTGAGACTTAGGGACACCCCAGAAGCCATCTCAGAATCAGCGGCTAAAAAATGTCTCCCAGAGGCAAAGAGGTGGGAGGAGAGGACAACAGAGGAAACTTGTCCTGTTGGGTTTCCAAGGCCTTGTTTCTAGGACAGACCTGGGAAGAACAGGATCTTCATTAAGCAGAAGGACCTGCCAGCTCATGGTCCAAAATGTCACGGTGAAAAGCTACTGGGATTCCATTTCTGCCATACACAGATGGTCATTGAAGGAGAAGAGTCCTCTGGCTCACATCTCCGCTCAGAAGACCTGCAAATACACCAGTGTCCCCACAAGGCCTGAGGCCAGGGTCACAGGGCCATGGTCAGCAGTGACAGTGATGCTGACGTGTGACACCGACTGCCTGTTTCTGATGGAGCAGAGACAGGAGCGTACAGATCACTCGTGAGAAAACTCTGGACTGAATGGGCCTTTTTCTGCCTTCTTCTCAGGCCTCTTTTGTAGAGAGATGAAGCAGAAAACAAAGAAGAGATTCATCACCATGTGCCCGTCCAGCAGCTGTTTTCTTGTTGTCTCTTGTTTGACTTCTCTCAAGAGAGCAGAGCTAACTACTCAAGCCAAGCAGGTGTTTAAGGCAGGTGATTTTGTTTCCATTAATTTTCTGAAGTAACAGTAAACCAGACAAGAGAGTTACATCATGCAGTCCTGGAGAAACCAGAACCCGGTGTGTAACCCCCGGTGGGGTGCGTTTGCTGCAGGACCGGGCATCCGCCCCCTGCTGCCCCAGTACCTTCCATCTCTAGTTCTCAGAATAAATGGAACCTTAGCGGTCACCAACCGTCCCCACCCTCGACATCTGGATCAATCATCATTAACAATGTGTTCAAATGGAAGGTGAGGTTGGAGGCTTTCAGGTTTGGGGGGAAAACCAGATTAAGAAAAGCATCAACTTCACTGCCCAGATAAACCATCACAGTAATAACTACAAGGATAGCCTTACTACTGTGAGGGAGGTGAATAAAAGCCATGAAACATTTCTGCTTTCATGTTTAGGCTTCAATTCAGTCTCCCAGTCTTGTCTGGCTCTTTGTGACCCCATGAACTACAGCACGCCAGGCCTCCCTGTCCATCACCAACTCCCAGAGTTTACTCAAACTCATGTCCATCGAGTTGGTGATGCCATCCAACCATCTCATCCTCTGTCGTCCCCTTCTCCTCCTGCCTTCAGTCTTTCCCAGCATCAGGGTCTTTCCAAATGAGTCAGCTCATTGCATCAGGTGGCCAAAGTATTGGAGTTTCAGCTTCAATCAGTCCTTCCAATGAATATTCAGGACTGATTTCCTTTAGGATAGACTAGGTGGATGTTTAAACTTAAGGCTAAACTAACTCAAACCTATGAATCTAGCCCGAGTCCTGGATGGCCCTTCCAGGCTTCCGTGCCCCTCCCTGAGGAGGCCCACAGCCCGGGCCTGCCTCTGCACCACAGTGACCCACGACTCCGGGGAGGAGGGCTCCTCTCCTCCCAGTGGGCAGCACTTGTCACTTGGGGACCGAGTAGAACGGCCCACCTTCTCACCCAGACGGCAGACGGCCCCCAGCTTACGACGATCTGACTCACATCTTCTCTACTATATGATGGTGCAAATTCGATACTCATTCAGCAGTGATGTTTCTACATGAAAGTCTGAATTCAGATCTTTTCCTGGCCTGGCAGCATGCTGCCCCACGGGCTCTACGATGTAGGGCAGCGAGCCAGAGCTCCCGTCGGCCCCGTGATCATGAGGGTAAACAACCGATAGCCCGACAGCATTCTGAACCCGGACAACCATTCTGGCTTGCTGGCGGTAGTGTTCAACAAATTACCTGAGCCAGTCAATGCTTTATTATAAAACAGGTTTCTGGGTTGATTTGGCCCAACTGTAGCCTAGCGTCAGCGTTCTGACGTGGTTACGACGGCGAGGCTGGGGTTGCTTCCCTGATGGTCCAGGCGTAAAGAGTCTGCCTGCCAATGCAGGAAGACACCGGTTCCATCCCTGGTCCAGGAAGATCCCACATGCCGTGGAGCAAACAAGTGTGTGTGCCACAACTACTGAGCCCACGGGCTGCAGCTACCAAAGACATGCTCCCTGGAACCCATGCTCCGCAGTGAGAAGCCCACGTGCCACAACTGTAGGGTGGCCCCTGCTCCCACAGCTACAGAAAAGTCCAAGCAGCAATGAGGACCCAGACAGCCAAAAACAAATACATAAAGTTATTTTTAAAAAAGAACTCATTTAAGACTGGTGAGGCTAAACCACAATGTTCTGGGAGGATGTATTAAATGCGTTTCAGAGTTAACAGTATTTTCACCTGACGATGGGTTCATCCTGAAGTTTTGTGCATGTCAGCTTACCTTTAGTTTTCTGCTATTGCAGAGCCATTGTCACCAGGAGCAAACATCCGGTGACACATTTCTCTCTCTTTGTCCATGTAGTCCCTATAGTAGCTGCAGGGAGAAATACCCAGTAGTTAGAGAAGTGCAGCATCTATGGGAAGTGACACCTAGCGGCTAGAATTCTCCACTCAGGGCCAGAAACACCGAAACTCCAGCAGGCCTCAAACCCAATCAGGAGGGGGTGGAAGCAATGCTGGAGGAGGAGGGGACTGGGGGAGGCTCCCCAGAGTGCTGTTCAGGAAACACTTGGACAAAAAGCCCACCATCTGCAAAGACAGCAGCCTCGAAGGTTAGGAGCTGCTGTCAGAGACGCTGTCAGCTGCGTGCAGCTGAGCAACACCTCATACTCAGAGATCTCTCATTTATCTTGAGGCTTTCCTGCTAAAGAATGGTCAGATTCCAAAGATTTTTACACCTTTCTTAACAGGATGTTTATAAATACCAGAAAGGAAACTTCTGTAAGTCTTCAAGGCCTGAAATGCAAATATCTGGATCCAAGCAAGAGGTACACAGACCTTGTGCTTTTTTTTTTTAAATGTCAAGAAAGCTTTAGGGCTTCTTTGATGGTCCAGTGCTTAGGAATCCACCTTGCAATGCAGGGGACACGGATTCAATTCCTTCATGCCTCAGGGCAACTAAGCCTGTGTGCCGCAGCTACTGAAGCCTGTACACCGGCAGCCTGTGCTCTGCGACAAGAGAAGCCACTGCAAAGACGACCTGTACTCCAACTAGTCCCCGCTCACAGCAACGAAGACCCAGCACAACCAAAAACAAATAAATATTAAAAAAAAGAAAGCGTTAACTAGCAGTCTGTATTAAATGTTTAAAAATGTTAACATAAGTAGAGAAACCTCACCAATAAAGAGAAACAAAAGAACACCTTAAAAAAAAAGTGGTTATAATTATGTCGAAATTTTCAAAGTTTTCTACAATGAATATGTAGCTTCCACAATCAGGAAAAGTTACATTACTGAGAAGCTGGTATCAGTATCACCTGGGTAACAAGAGAGTCATCCGAGGGAATGACTCAGACCTGAAAGAGCCATTTCAAATCAAACCAGCATCTTGAAGACATCTTCCTGCAGGCACTTGAGCACAGAGGTTCTCAGCTGGCAGGGAAGAATATCTGAAGAATGCTGCCCTTTCTAAAAATCACACTGGCCACCTCTTTAGGGTGCTGCCTGGTGAGGAGGACAGGGAGATGTGCAATGGTCCAGGTGAGCAATGGTGTGTGGTTTGGAGGTCTGTCCTACGCCCCCATCCCCTCTCCGGAGCTGCGGGTTTAGAGAGCTGAGCACTTCCTAAAGCCAGCTCTAGGGGGCGCTGCCTCCCAACACGGGCTTGGCAACATCGAACAGTCCTTCACTCAAGTGAAGAGGCCAGAGCGGCAGATACACCGCATCTTTCTTTCTCTGTTTGTACTCCTAAAAACCGTGGTCTCACCTGGCCAGTTTCTTCAGCTCGTTATTGATGTCGTGGTTGAAGGGCTGCTCCCTCTGGGCTCGGACTAGAAAATCCCGGGCCTTCTGGTACTCGGTCATAAGGAGACAAGCCTGCCCGAAGGACATGTTACAAGCGCGCTTCAGGAAAGAGCACCGCGGCAGTAACACAGCTGACCGCCACTGCGGCCGTTCCTCGAGCGTTCCGTCCCAGGTCCCTGCCCTCCCGCTCACCTGTCCACAGCGGAAGAGGGCCTTGGCATTCTTTTGGTCAATGATCAGAGCCTGCTCTCCATAGCGCAGGGCCATGGTGGGGCGCTCCAGCTTCAGGTAAGTAAAGGACAGATTGAGGAAAACAAGCAGCTTGGCGGTCTCCACCAAGTGCTGCTCTTCAGCGGGCGCTGTTCGCCGGCGGAGGAGCATCAAGGCCTGTGGAAAGGAAGAGACAGGTGGTCGAGAGAAGGTGGTCTTATGTACAGCGAACCCTAAGAATACACAAACACACACACACACACTCAGAGCTAAAAAATGGGTTCACAAAGTTGCAAAACACAAGATCAACATATGAGTCAGGTGTATTTCTTTAACAATCCAAAAAGGAAATTAAGAAAACAGCTCTTTATAACAGCACCAAAAAGAATAAAATGAGTGGCAATAAATTTAAAGTGCAACACTTATAAACTGAAAAATATAAAACTTTGTTGAAAGAAATTAAAGATCTAAATAAATGGAAAGACAGTTCATGTTCACAGATCAAAACACCTAATTCTGTTAAGACAGCAATAGTGCCCAAATTATTCTACATTTTCAATTCAACTACTCCCAAAATTTCAACTGCCTTTTTTGCAAAAATGGTCAAGCTGATCTGAAAATTCATATGGAAATTCACGGGATCCTAAACAGCCAAAACAACACTTAAAAAAGGCAGGGTAAAGGCAGGTGGTCAGAGAGAAACAAGGTTGAAAGACTCACACTCTCTAATTGCAGAACTTACTACCAAGCCAGTGTGGTACCCATAAAGACAGACACACATCAATAGAACAGAACCAGCAAGGCAGATGGAGACACCAGGAACAAACCTATGTACATCTAGAATCAACTATTAACAAGGTGCCAACACCACTCAATGGAGAAAGAGTAACCTTTCAGCAGGTGGTGCTGTGATAAATGGATGTCGACAAGCAAGAGGATGAAGCTGACTCCTACCTCAGACAATGTACAATTAACTCAAAACAGACCACAGACCTAAAGCTAAGAGCTCAACTGTAAGCAAGACTCTTAGAGGAAAACATGGGTGTAAACCTTTGCAGCCTCAGATAAATCATGACACTGAAGGCACAAATACCTAGAGAATAAATTACGGGGACTTCATCAAAATTAAAAGCTTTTGTGCTTCAAAGAACGCTATCAAGAAAATGAAAGAACAAAATGACTGAAGGTTGACTGATGTTTAAGAAAAATCATTATAACAAGCAGTTACCGGTTTCAGTTGACAACATATAACAGTTTACTGCTGTCACTGTCCATGCCTTTAGATAATTTATTTTGACTTTTGAGTAAAAAGACATCTTCTTCTTTTCGGGAATATACAAAAGTAAAATAACAACCACAGAATAGGAGAAAATATTTCCAAATCACATTTGATAAGGGTTTAGTATCTAGAATAAAGAACTTTTACAACTCCACAATAAAGACAAATTTAAAACGGGCAAAGGATCTAAATAAACATTTCTCCTAGGAAGATACACAAATAGCTTATAAGCATATGAAAAGACACCCAACATCATTAGTCATCAGGGAAATGCAAAATCACAATGACATACCACTTCACACCCACTAGGATGTCTGTAATTTTAAAAAAGGTAGTGTTGGTGAGGATGTGGCCTAACTTGTATTGTTGGTAGGAATGTGAAAAGTGGTAGCCACCATGGAAAACAATTTGGCAGTACTTCAGAAAGATTCTCCATGTGACCCAGCAATTGCGCTCCTAGCTGTGTACCCCAAAGAACTGGGAACATCAGTCTACACACAAAAACTGGCCAACAAATGTTCTTAGAAACATTATTCACAACAGCCAAAAAGTGGAAACAACCCAAACGTCCTCCAACTGATGAACACATACACAAAAGGCAGTGAGATCCCCACGGACTACAGCCAACAGGCGCAGGCTGCCAGGCTCCTCTGTCCATGGAACTCGCCAGGCAAGAACACTGGAGGGGGAAGCCATTCCTTTCCCCAAGGAAAAGCAATTTCTGACCCAGAGATCAAACCTGGGTGTCCCACACTGAGGGCAGTGTCTTTACTATCTGAGCCACCAGGGAAGCCCCAGTAAGATCCACACAACAGAGTTATTCATCTATAAAAATGAATGAAATACTAATACATGCTACAGCATGGATAAAACTTGAAACATTATGCTAAGTGAAAGGAGTCAGACAGAAAAGGATAAATATTGTTATTATTCCACTTACATGAGTGCCCATAACAGATAAATTTATAGACACAGAAAATAGAATAGAGGTTACCAGAAGCTGGGGCCAGGAGAAGTGGGAGTTACTGTTTACCGGATAAAGAACTTCTGTTTGAGATGATGAAAAAGTTCTGCAACAGGCAGTGGTGATAGTTGCACAACATTCTGAATGTACATAATGCCACAGGGTTGTATACCTAAAAGTGCTTAAAATGGTAAAATTTATGTTTGGCAAATTTTACCACAATTTAAAAAATAAGTTTTTTTTTAAAAGGAATAAACTGCTAATACATGCTACAACATAGATAAACTCTGAAAGCATTCTGCTTCCTGAAAGAAGCCAAAGAATCACATGCTTCAAAATTCTATTTACATGTAATATCCCAGATAAACAAATACATAGAGTAAAACAGGGATCATCGGGGGTGTAAGAGGGAATGGTAACTGCTCACAGGTTTCTTTTTGGGGTGATGGAATGTTCCAGAATTTGGCAGTGGTAATGGCTGCACAACCTTGTGAATAAACTAAGAATTACTGAACTGTACACTTAAAAGTGTGAATCTTATGCTACATGAATTATAGTTCAACAACAGTAAACAATAAATGGTTCTGGGAAAACTGGACAGCTACAGGCAAAAGAATCAAACTGGGCTACTTACTCAGACCACATACAATTTCAAGATTTAAAACATAGGCTGTGTGCTGTGCTCAATTGTGTCTAACTTTTTGCAACCCTATGAACTGTAGCCTGCCAGGCTCCTCTGTCCATGGGATTCTCCAGGCAAGAATACTGGAGTGGGTTGCCATGCCCTCCTCCAGGGGATCTTCCCAACCCAGGAATCAAACCCAGGTCTCCCTGCATTGCAGGCAGATTCTTTTCCATCTGGGCCACCAGGGAAGCCCTTAAAATATAAGGCCTGAAACAAAAAAACTTTTAGAAGAAAACACAGACAGTATGCTCTCTGACACCCATGTTAGGAATACTTTTTTGGATATGTCTCTTCTGGCTGAGGAAACAAAAGCAAAAATAAACAAATGGAACTACATCAAATTAAAAAGCTCCTGCATAGCAGAGGAAACTATCAACAAAAAGGAAAGGCCACCAATGAATGGGAGAAGATATCCGCAAAACAAATGAATGGGAGAAGATATCTGCAAAACAATATGTCCAATAAGGGGTTATTATCCAAAATATACAAAGAACTCATACAACCTAACATAAAAAAATACACAACTGATTGAAAGATAGGCAGAGGATCCAAGCAGACATTTTTCCGAAGGAGATACACACACAGCCAGGAAGCACATGAAAAGATGCTCAACAGCACCAATCATCAGGAAAATGCAAATCAAGCCACAGTAAGGTGTCACGTCACACCTGTCAGAATGGCTATTATCAAAAAGACAACAAACAGCCAGGAAGAATGTGGAGAAAAGAAAACCCTTGGGCACTGTTGGCAAGAATATAAATTGATGCAGCCACTATAGAAAACAGTATGGTTACTCAAAAAATTAAACACAGAATTACTGTATGATCCAGCATTCCACTCCTGGGTATTTGTCCAAAGAAAACAAACACACTAATTTGAAAAAACACATACACCCTTGGTTGACTGAAGCATCATTTACAGTAGCCAGAGCTGACTCATTGGGAAAGATTCTGATGCTGGGAAAGATTGAGTGCGGGCAAGAGGAGGAGGTGACAGAGGATGAGACGGTTGGACGGCATCACCGACTCAATGGACATGAGTTTGAGCAAATTCCGGGAGTTGATGATGGATAGGGAGGCCTGGCATGCTGCAGTCCGTGGGGCCTTGAGTCAGAAACCACTTAGTTACTGACCACCACCACCAAAGTGCCCAACAATAGATGACTATTTAAAGATGTGGTACATATACATAATGGAATATTATTTAGCCGTAAGATAGAACAAAACCTTGCCATCTGTAACAACACGAATGGCCATAGAGGGTATTATGCTAAGAGAAAGAGTCAGAGAAAGAGAACGTGTATTTCCCTCCTTTTCCAACAGAGCCTCCATTTCATACAAAGCAGCAATGTACTAATTAAACCATACTCTCCAGCTTCCTGTCTGCCTACAGCTAAGGGCAAATGGACATTCACCACGGGATATCATGAGAAGTCGGGGTAGGAGAAATTCTGGAAAGCTTGTAATATGAATACACACACCAGACTCTTCTTCCCTCCCTTCTTCCTGCCCAGATGACCACATGATGCTGCAGGCTGAACTACCATCTTGAGAAGGAAAAAGACAACAAAGACACACTTAAGGGCAGCTGATCAGAGACCTCTGGAACGTACCCTGATGGCTTTGTGGAACAGCTGTTTATGCTGGCCTTGAAGCGCCTCCCTTCTTGTGAGAAAAATTACATCACTAGTTTATTTGAAAAACTTTTTCAGGATTTTGTGGTTCACAGCTGAATGCAAAGCCTGAATGTTTAGGCTCACTACGCAAACGAGAGAAAAATCAGAATGCTTCTAAACTTTATCCTGTTTGCCTCTATAGCCTAGGGGGCAGAGTTGGGCACACAGAAAGTACTCATAATATTCATGAACGTGTTACAAAGGAAAGAGCGGATTCCTGTCAGCAGAACCTCCACAGGAAGCCAAATCACAATCAGAAGCTTGGCAAGAATGGAGTTAGATTCAGATGAATGTCCACTGTCAGAGAGACAGGAAATGAACATGGCAAATGGGGTAGAGAAGTCAGTTGATAGAGGACCCAAAACTAGAAAGAGAATTTAAAAATTTTTTAATTGAAATACACAGTCAAGTATAAAAGCAAGCATCCAGCTCGATGAACGATCACAACCTGAACACACTCATGTAAACCACATCCGTATTCAAACATTACCAGGTTCCCCTAAACCCTGCGTCCCCTCTCCCAGTTTTTAGCCCTCTGGCATGAGGATTTTTAGGTAAGATTTTTCTTAACAGTTGTAGGTGAGAAGAAGGGACAGAGATAAAGTCTCTCCCTCTTAAAGAAGGAAGTTTCCAGGGTCTAAACTTACACTCTGAAGCAGTCTTACCCGTTTATATCTCATTTTGGCATCAGAGAAACGATTCTGGCGGAAAAGGTAGTTGCCAAACTCCCGTTCAGTAGCTGCCACCTTTAGGACCTTCTGAAGTGGAAACTGACCCTGTTGCTCCTAAGGATCAAAGACAAGGACGTCAGCAAGGAAACTGAAAGCCCCTCGGCCACGCCAGTGGCGCCACAGCTGTTAGGGCTGTTCCTCTAGACTGTGACCTCTGCCGCTGCGGATGTGCCGCGCTCCGGGCTAGGGCCCTGGGTAGGAGTCATCTCTGAACCCCGACAGAAGCGACAGCGGGCAGCCGTCATTACTGCTGTTTCACGGATGAGGGCCAAATGGAAGTCCACTAGTTTAGTCCTACCCAGAGAGGCTCCCTAAAGACGAGTTCCTCATAGAATTAGAAACTGATGGAACTTGCCAAGCTCAAAGGTCAGGTCTCATGACAACCACTCATCCGGCAAGCATTTGACAGTCTCGGTCTGCCCAGAGCTCCGCTCGTCTTTCCAACCATGATCCTCTACCCTGGGTACACATCAGAATCACCAGTGGAGCCTCTTTTTAAACAGACGTCCTAGGCCCACCCCCAAAGATTCTAAATCAGCACACAAGAGGGGGGACCCGGGTTATCTGCAAGAACCTCTGTTTTGTGAAAAGATGAGAAAAAGGAAGTGTCTCTCCCTTGTGGTGGTGACAGTTTAGCCAGGGAGACACCATACAGAGATGTGAACCTGGGGAGGATATCTAAGGCCACATGTACAGCCAGGCTGAGACAGCAGGACACGGAGCACACTGCTGATGATTAGAAGCCCTGTCTGTACGCGACGAGTTACTTGCGAGGCTACAGAGGAAAGGCAGTTTTAAAGTTATGTTAAGAGAGAAACCATCCATCCCAGTTTACACCCAGTGTCCTCGTATCCCATTAGTTAGTAGTCCCTTTCTCTCTAAGGGTCAAGGTTGGACAACAAATTACATAGTCAACCTAGGTATGAGCTACCAATGCTTGACTGGCTGAAAACCAAACAAAACTGAGAAGCAAATACTGTCTTTCAGGGAGACCTAGGCAAATGGTGACAAAGGTCAGCTCAACCTGCTGGTCCATAACAAACCCCTGGCCGAGCACATCAGAGCCAGCAGCACTCAAGACAGACACACACTAGCGAGTGGTAAGATACTCCTCCCCTCCACCTCTCCACACCAGACCCTTGGCCAGACCCTGGGGCTGACGATCATCAGTGGGGAAGGATAATTACCTGAAACCCAAACCCATCTCTCTATCAAAGTGCTAACATCTGTGCTCTAGAACTTACGGCCGAGAGGGCACAAAACTTGTCTGACTCAGCCGAGTCCAGGAAGTCAAGCAACTCGATCTCAAACAAGACGGTGGTGTTTGGGGGGATCAGGGGAGGGCAGCCCAGCGTCCCGTAGGCATACGTGGGTTTGAACAGGAACCTGGCCAGCTCCCCTCTCCGCATGCTCAGAAGGCCCAGCTCCATGCCCCACAGTGTGATATCTGGAAGAAGTGACAAAAAACGCGGTAGAAGCTGGCCCAGTGCCTCCCCCTTCACATCCACATCTCTTCGAGAGGTATCCCCAAGCCTTCTGCGTTGTCATCCCAAATCACCACCACCCACAGACTCCTCCAGCCCCTGCAGCGTCCAGGCCTCGACATCTCTGTTCACGTAGTTCCTTCTTCCTACAATGTTGTTCTCCTGCCCCCTCATGCCCAGCTTCTACTCTGAGCGAGCTCTTATTCAAACTTTAGGGCTCATTTCAAATGCCCAATCTGACGTGAAGTATTCCCAGCTGAAATGCACTGTGCCTCCATTAAGCATTCCCACCAAACACTGCTTATACCTCCCCATATTTCACCAGGTTAGTTGTCTGGAGTGTGTCAATCTCTATGACACTGGCCCCAGCCTTTCTGACCATATGAGTACATCCTTTCTTTCCACTCTGCCTTGTGGAACAATCATTCAACAAACGTCTTTATAATAAACAAAGAAGTATGTAGCACCCCTGATTATGTCACGAATGCAAAGATAACCCTGCCAGGGAAGCCAAATACCTAGGTCTCAGAGGAGAATGTGGAAGACAACATGGCTGGTTTAGCAAAACCCAGCCTCAGAAAAACCAACTCAAGTGCTCTGGAAAGTTTTCCGGTCCTCAGGCACTGCCCTGCATCAGTTCCCCCAAGCAACTTCTTTTTTCCCAGCTCCTTATCTGAGCTTGGGCTTCCTGGTGGCTCAGATGGCAAAGAATCTGCCTGCATTGCAGGAGACTTGGGTTCAATCCCTGGGTGGGAAAGATCCCCTGGAGAAGGGAATAGCAAACCACTCCAGTACTCTTGCCTGGAGAATTCCATGGACAGAGGAACCTGGAGGTCCAAGAAGTCACAGAGTCTGATAGGACTGAGCCCCTAACACTTTCATTTTCATCTGAACTTACCCTCTCCAAGTTTCATGAGCCGAGGAGTTCTCCTAAAGCAATTAGAATCAAAAGGCTTGTCCATGTGCTCCAGATATCCAGAATATTTCACTAGCAAAGAGGAAAGACACTCATGCCTCCATATCAAATCTCTTCGTCACACAGAAACAATATTAAGTTCCTTAAACTAGGCCCCCACCCCATGATTGGAAAAAGCTTTGCTCAACGTTTATATGCCTGCCCTTTGGCGGTGTGGCTCAAGAGCTGGGCCGGTGGGCCTCCCAGAGCCCCTGTTCATGGCCGTCTCACACAAAGGGGTAATGGGTTCCCTCGCTTATCCCTTGAAACCCAGCACTCGGGCATCGCTAGCCTCCCAAGGGCAGACGGCACCCGGGCCCGGCCGCCATACATACCAAGCACGGAAGCGTCCGGTGTCACCAGCTCTCCAGCTCCCTCTCGAATGACATCTTTCAGCACGCCCCGGTCCCCCGAAATGTCCAGCATCCTTTGACTTAAGCGCTGGTACGGAGACTTATGGGGGATAAAACACACCACCTCAGAGCCCTGGACGGGCACCCTGACTCTGGCGGCTCCAACCAACCCCCACTCCCCAGCGCCCGGGCCCTCACCTGGCTGGGGGAGTCGTCCCTTTGCAGGACTCCCGGGTTCCGGGCACTGCCCCCCATTTCCCCGCCGCCCGCCCCCAGGCCCCGCTGCCCTATGCCCCACAGCGACGCGCTCGCCCTTTTATACCCGGTCTTCCGCGTCCAACCGTGGCAATCCGTTCAGGGGCCGCGAGGAGACGTTCATCGCTCGGCTCCAACCGCCGCCAACCGCCAGTGGGCGCTCGGGGAGTGCGCCAAACCACGTGTGCGGACGTCCGGCAGGTCACGTGATGGAGGCACGTGGCGGGAGTGGGGGTGGGGCACGCACAGAGCCGGATCCCGCGCTACTTGAGGCCGCGTGGGGCATGACAGGACACGTGGCGCACCACGGGACATGAGGCAGGGGTGCGGGAAGCGTGACGCAGCTTGTGGCGAGGGTACAGTGAATGGGTCGTTCAGGTGCTGAGATCAGCCGCCAGGTGCGTGATGGCCAAGCTGCGGACACATGGCCAGCGGGACACGGTGCAGAGGACAAGGCTTCAGACGCAGGGTGGGGGTAGGGGCTGCTGGAACGGCCAGGACCACCGACGTGGGTGATTTCAACCCTCCCTTGTTCTCCTTCCCGCTCCAGGGACACATAAGAGGCGGACAGCACTCCAAAGTCAAACTGCCCAGTTCCTGCAAAAGCAAGATGATGCTGGGCCTGCCCCTGGCCATCAGCAAGTCTGCTACACCTGTGTGCTCCTGGTACAAAGGAAGAATGGCCTGGGATCCTACCCGCCCCGACCTGTTCCTTACTTCCTCCCCCTTTTGCCAAGTTGAGGACTGGACGCCATTGGGCTTCCCATCTCTCCTGCACCCATCTTGCCTTGACCACTGGGTCATTTCATTTCGCTTAGGTGTGTCCCTAAATCCCCCACCTAAAAACAAACAGGTCTCTCTTTGTCCCAAATTTCCCTCCTGCTACAGATGGTCTCATTCCTCCTCTTCCAGGGAAAAACTTCTCAAAAGGGTTGCTGCAAAGGCTTTCTCAACTATTCTGTCTCCACCTCCTTACTCTTCATTTTCTTTTCCACTCCAATACCACTTTCCCGGGGTTCAGGCCACCATTCACTCTTGTTGTTGCCAAATCCCTTAGATTCTTCTTTGTCCTCCAGTTACTGGACTCTAATTAGCATTTGATGAAGCTGACCTGACCTTTAACTGCCTCTTTTCTTTTGGCTTCTGTATTTAGTTGTTGTTGTGGTTTTTTTTTCACTTCTTGTAACAAATGACCACAAAAGGAACTGTTTTAAGCAATACATTTATTATCTCACAGGTCTGGTGGTAGAAGTCTGCAGTCTTGCTGGGCTAAGATGGAGGCATCAACCTCCCTCGAGGCTTTGGGAAAGAATCCACTTCAAAGCCCATTCAGATCATTGGCTTCCAGGTCGCTGAAGCTCTTGGCTCGAGGTCCCTGTGTCCTTGCTGTCAGCCAACAGTGACCCTTACTTTTTAGAGGCTACTCTGTGGTCCTTGCACATGGGCCCCTACATCTCAAGAATCAGCAACAGCTTGCTGATTCCTTCTCAGGCTGGGAGGGAATATTACCTGGTTGATGTTTGTATAAACTTGCCTCCTCTCCTTAATCTGTCTCTGACTCCAGCCAGGGCAAGTTCTATGTTAAGGGGCAATATGATTAGGTTGGACCCACTGTGATAATTCAGCTTGGTGACTGTAATTATTACATCTTCAAAGTCCCTTTTGCCATCTAAGGAAGCATATTCACAGATCCTAAGAATTAGGGCATGGACACCCAGTGGGTTTTGCTGGTGGCTTAGATGGTAAAGAATCAGCCTGCAATGCAGGAGACCCAGGTTTTATTTCTAGGTCGGGAAGATACCCTGGAGGAGGAGATCTTGCCTAGAGGGTTCCACAGACAGAGGGGCCTAGCGGGCTACCATCCATGGGGTTGCAAAGAGTTGGACACGACTGAGCGACTAACCCACACATGTCCTTTTGGCAGTCATTCTTCCTGCCACACTTCCTGGTCACCACACTCTCCTGATTTTTCTCCTACCAGCCTGGCTGTTCCTTCTCAGTCATCCTGTTCCTGATCTCTAAACATTAGCAGTCACAGGGCCCTGTCTGTGGGCCCCTGCCCTTCTCAATTCCCAATCCCCAAGAGCCCAACCATTCCCACAGGTTTACATATGTGATACGCCTGGCCAGCCTAGAGCCTCCCTGGGCGCCAGGGCTCCAGGTGTTTTGAGTCAAATTGACTTTTCCAGTGGCTCTCAAAGTGTAGTGCTTAGACTAGCAGCAGCAATGTTGCCTGGGAACGTTTGAAAATTAGGACAAAACTGGGTCTGTCCCCGTACTCCTGAGTCGGCATCTCTGGAGCCGGGTCGAGAAGCCTCTGTTATAACAAGCCCTCAGGAACGACTGAGTGGCTTCACTTCACTTCAGGTGATTCTTAGGTCTACTGAAGTCTTCAGACCGCTGGGCTACTTAGTCATTCCACCTGGTTGTTCTTAGGCATCTGACTCTGGCATCTGTCTTTTTCACCTTGATCTTGGCATCACTGTCCATCCACCCAGGTGCTCAAGTCACTATGATCCATATCTACACAGTGGCCAGAGTGATCTTTAAAAAATATAAATCAGATCATATTCCCTTGCTTTAAACCCAGCAATAGCTCCCACCGCCCTTGAAATTAAATCCAAACCTTTGCCCCGGTCTACCAGGCCCTCCCTGCCAGCCCCTCTGACCTCATCTTCTGGTGTTCCGTCTGACTTACTGTGATCCAGCTCCCCAAGCCTCCTCTCTGGTGGATCTCGTAAATACAGCTGACCTTTGAACAACAGGGATGTGAATCGCAAGTGTCCAGTTATACGGGGATACTTTTCAACAGTGAATACTAGAGTATTGCACCACCCGTACTGAGCTCTTTCCAGCCTCAGGTCCTTTGCACTTGTGCCCCCTTTGCCTGAGGTACATTGTACCTCACAGTCCTGCCGCCCAATCTGCCTCTTATCACACTGTTTACTTCCTGCAAAGCATTTAACACTATTCTATTATCTCATTTATTTGTGACCTGCCCCTATGTATTATAAACTCCACAAGGACAGAAGCTTTGTCTTGTTTTCTGTGTTTGATACTCAGTTGTCACTTTTTGCGACCCCGTGGACTGTAGCCCACCAGGCCCGTTGGTCCATGGGATTTCCCAGGCAAGAATTCTGGAGTAGGTTGCTGTTTTCTTCTCCAGGGAATCTTCCCAACCCAGGGATCAAACCCAGGTCTCCTGCATTACAGGCAGATTCTTTACCGTCTGAGCCACCCAGTGCAGTACTCGACATAGGAGGTTCGCAATAAATATTTGTTGAATACAATAGAATTGAGTCTCTACCTGCCTATACCAGGCCTTGGTCTAGCTTGTCACTGGGGAAGCAGCCCTACCCCTCCTGTAGACATGAGTGCTTAGACTTGCAGTGGTGACAGCATGTTGGTTCAGAGATCCTTGTTTCTTAATGCCCACCTCTGTCTTGTCCATTCAGTGATTTCCCACCCCACTCCTATGAAATGCATAATATAGTGTGACCGAAATATTTATTGACTGTTTGACAAATATTTAGAAAATATTTATCTTTCTAAACCATTGAAAGACTTTTAATTTTTTTTTATTGAAGGATAATTGCTTTACAAAATTTTGTTGTTTTCTGTCAAACCTCAACATGAATCAGCCATCAGTTCAGTTCAGTTCAGTCGCTCAGTCATGTCTGACTCTTTGCGACCCCATGAATCGCAGCACGCCAGGCCTCCCTGTCCATCACCAACTTCCAGAGTTTACTCAAACTCATGTCCATTGAGTCAGTGATGCCATCCAGCCATCTCATCCTCATAGGTATACATATATCCCCTCCCTTTTGAACCTCCCTGCCCATCCCACCCCTCTAGGTTGATACAGAGCCCATTTGAGTTTCCTGAGCTGTAGAGCAAATTCCTGTTGGCGATCTATTTTACATATGGTAATGTAAGTTTCCATGTGATAATGTAAGTTTCCATGTTACTCTTTCCACACATCTCACCCTCTCCTCCCCTCTCCGCATGTCCATAACTCTGTTCTCTATGTCCATTTCTCCACTGCTGCCCTGTAAGTAAATTCTTCAGTACCGTTTTTCTAGATTCTGTATATATGTGATAGAATACGATATTTATTTTTCTCTTTCTGACTTAATTCACTCTATATAATAGGTTCTAGGTTCATCTACCTCTTCAGAACTGATTCAAATGTGTTCCTTTTATGGCTGAGTAATATTCCATTGTGTATATGTACCACAACTTATTTATCCATTCATCTGTCGATGGACATCTAGGTTGCTTCCATGTTCTAGCTATTGTAAATAGTGCTGCAGTGAACAATGGGATACATGTGTCTTTTTCAATTTTGGTTTTCTCAGGAAACCCAGGAATGGGATTGCTGGGTCATATGGTGGTTTTATTCCTAGTTTTTTAAGGAATCTCCATACCGTCTTCCATCGTGGCTGTCAATTTACATTCCCACCAATGGTGCAAGAGCGTTCCCTTTTCTCCACACCCTCTCCAGCGTTTATTGTTTGTAGACTTTTTGATGACGGCCATTCTGGCTGGCTTTCCTGGTGGCTCAGATGGTAAGGTGTCTGCCTGCAATGTGGGAGACCTGGGTTTAATCCCTGAGTCGGGAATATCCCCTGGAGAAGGAAATGGCAACCCACTCCAGTACTCTTGCCTGGAAAACTCCATGGACTGAGGAACCTGGCAGTCTGCAGTCCACGGGGTCGCAAAGAGTTGGACACGACTGAGCGACTTCACTTTATCAACTTTATTCTGAGTGGTGTGAGGTGATACCACATTATAGTTTTGATTTTCATTTCTATAGTAATGAATGATGTTGAGCATCCTTTTATGTGTTTGTTAGCCATCTGTATGTCTTTGGAGAAAAGTCTGTTTAGGTCTTTTTCCCACTTTTTGATGGGTTGTTTGTTTTTCTGGCATTGAGTTGTATGAGCTGCTTGTATATTTTGGAAATTAATCCTTTGTCAGTTGTTTCATTTGCTATTATTTTTTTCCCATTCTGAGGGTTGTCTTTTCACCTTGCTTATAGTTTCCTTTGCTGTGCAAAAGCTTTTAAGTTTAATCAGGTCCCACTTGTTTACTTTTGTTTTTATTTCCATTAGTCTAGGAGGTGGGTTATAGAGGATCTTGCTTTGATTTATGTCGAGTGTTCTGCCTATGTTTTCCTCTAAGAGTTTTATAGTTTCTGGTCTTACATTTTGGTCTTTAATCCATTGTGAATTTATCTGTGTGTTAAACCATTGAAAGATTTTAATAAAAATGTATTAAAATGTATTTAATAAAAATTAAAAACCTAATAATTCAATATATTGACTAAAAACTTGGACACAAAAGAATATATAGGTAATTCTGTTTATTTGAAATTCAAAACCAGGCCGGGGATTTTCCTGGTGGTCCAGTGGCTAAGGCTTTGAGTTCCCAATACAGGGGGCCCAGGTTTGATCCCTGGTCAGGGAACTAGATCCTACATGCCATAACTAAGACCCGGCCTAGCCAAAAAAAACAAAAAGGGAAGCCAGGCCACATTAATCTATGATGATATAAGTCAGGATAGCAGCTCCCTTTGTTAGGGGTTCTGACTCGGGGACATGTGATAAAGCCTCTGGGTGCTAGAAATGTTCTGTATTTTGATCTTTTTTAAAAAATTGTTTTATCAGTTTATTATAAAGGATATAAATGAATAGCCAGATGAAGAGGTACTTAAGGCGAGATCCAGAAGAGTCCAGAGCACAGGTACTTGGGTTCCCACGGAGCTGGGGTGCAGCACCCTCCCAGAATCCAGAACCTTCTCTGTATCTGTTTTTTAAATTTATTACTTTGTTTGTTTTTGTTGTTCTGGGCCTTCGTTGCTCCTCATGGGCTTTCTCTAGTTGTGGTGAGCAGGGGCTGCTCTTCATCGTGGTGCCCGAGTTTCTCATCACGGTGGCCTCTCGTTGCGGGCAGAGCACAGGCGCGAGGGTGTGCGGGCTTAGTAGTTGTGGCTCATGGGCTTAGTTGCTCCATGATACGTGGAATCTTCCCAGCCCAGGGTTTGAACCCATGTCCCCTGCATTTGCAGGCAGACCCCTATCCACTGTAGCACCAGGGAAGTCCGGTCCTCTGTATCTTGACCTTGAGGGTGCATGCACATGTATAAATTGTACTTCAAGCATATGGTTAACATTTGTGCACTTTATAGAAGGTATACACCAATTTTAAAATTTAGGTAAGCAAGAACGTCTTCAGAGTTCTGGAGAGAGAGAGAGGGAGAGATGGAGATTCAGAGAGAAGTGTGTCACAGCACGAGTCCACTCCCTTTTGGGGTCTGTGACGTGTGAACGGGCACCCGGCCCCTCTGTCTCTGACCCTCCCCCAGGCCTGGCCAAGGTGAGCACCTGAGTGCCGCCCTTATCAGGGCCGGCCGAGCAGGGGCTCCCTCCCTAGTCCCGTGATGTGGCCCAGCCTCCACCTGATTCTCAGTGACCTTGAGGCACGGGGGCGTTTCTGGGAAAGGGGAGGAGGAGGAGGGCAGAGACTAGGTAGAACAGGTGTCCAGCTGTGATCCCAGGTCTCTGCACCTGCCGTCCCGTCCTGGGGAGAAGAGGAGGCTGAGCGGATCGAGTCAGTGTTGCTGGTGTGAGGCCCCGCTGGAGGGCGCGGAGGATCCGGAGAGGCAGTGCGGGGTTCTCCCTGGGGCCACTGCCGCCTTCTGGTGAGATGCTGCTCCCTCAGTCCCCGTCGGCTTTTACAGGGGAGCAGGGTGGGAGCCCCGGAGAAAGCCCCAAGGTCCCAGCTCCTGGACAGTATTGTTCTAAGACAGGGCTCTACTTCAGAATGGCCTGGGGGATGTCTCTTGTAAGCACAGATTTCTGGGGCTCACTGGAGATATGTGATGGCGTGACTCAGGAAGTCTGTTGTAACTGTGCTTCCACCAGCTGTTCGCCGGTTTGAGAACTGATCTAGAGCCTGGGAAAGACCTTGGCTTGTTTCTGCTGCCCCATTCTAGGTCAGGACGCCCGCTGGGATGGAGCTTGCATTGTTGCTGTCACTTCAGGGGACACTGCAGGTGGCCCCTTTCATGTTCACCTCCAAATCTGAGTTTAAAATGCAGGCACCTGGACCTCCAAGTGACCGCTGTTTTCATTTAAGCCCTTTGATTTAAAGATGGGAAAACAGACCCAAGGTCATCGTGGGTCAGGGCTGGAATTGAAGGCTGGCGTCCTCAACAGCCTCTCCTTTCAGGGCCCTTGGGGCTGGGGGCCAAAGGAGTGGAGGGAGCCAGCTCCAGGCGGGCCGCCCTGGGCCCCCGCGGGCGCCGTGGATGGCGTGGCAGGTGAGCGTGCCCGAGCTGGAGGACCGCCTGCAGTGCCCCATGTGCCTGGAGGTCTTCAAGGAGCCCCTGATGCTGCAGTGCGGCCACTCCTACTGCAAGGGCTGCCTGGTGGCCCTGTCCCGCCACCTGGCCTCGGAGCTGCGCTGCCCCGTGTGCCGGCGGGAGGTGGACTACAGCAGCTCCCCGCCCAACGTCTCCCTGGCCAAGGTGATTGAAGCCCTGCAGCTCCCCGGGGACCCGGAGCCCCAGGTGTGCGTGCACCACCGGAACCCCCTCAGCCTCTTCTGCGAGAAGGACCAGGAGCTCATCTGTGGCCTCTGTGGCCTGCTGGGCGCCCACCAGCACCACCGGGTCACGCCCGTCTCCACCGTCTACAGCCGCATGAAGGTGGGCAGGGAGGCCGCTGGGGGTGGCAGGCAGGAGCGGGGCAGGGCTGCCCCGGGGGACACGGAGTCCGATCCTGCACCCTTGGCGTCATTACGTGGCACATGGGTGAGGGCCAGCCCCGTTCCGATCACCTTTTGAATAGTGGTTCCAGTCTCCAGGTGCTGGGGCTTAGGTGATGCACAGGATGGAGGGCCACCTGTATCACCAGCTACTGCCCCCCACCTCTAGCTTTATTTTTCTCTGCCACTTTCCTCAGATTCTTGAGCCCTTCAGGGACTTCACTCTGAGGCAGGTGAGGGCAGGGACTTAGTTTCATCCCCCGGGATGTTTCCGCACCTAGAGCTGTGCCAAGCAGGTAGTAAATGTCCAAAAGGTCTTTGTGGAATCAATGGATTCCTGCCCTCATGGACCCTTGCCTCAGAACTAGCGGATCACCGTTTTGAGATGAATAATAATAATGATGTCATCTTAAGTTAGTCTGTTGATCTGAGGTTTATGAAGAGTGGGGTTATTGTTGTATTTATAAGTGAGGAAACAGGCTCAGAAAACGCATGAGGGTCTTGGTCAAGGTCATGCAGTTTGTCAGTGGCAGAGCTAGGATTCAAACCAAGGCCAGTTTTTCATCCCCCAGGCAACCGATCAAGGAAGGGCAGAAGGGCTCTTGGAGGTAAATTGTCGTAGGGTACCTGGCCTGGAGTTTGGCGGTGGGGACAGGGGGAGTAAGGACCAGGAATGACAAAGTTCAAGAGACGAGGGTGGGGGCAGGGCAGGAAGAGGGAAGTGCATCACCGTGTGTAGGCAGAGGGGCCTCTGGAAGCTGCTCCCAGGATTTCCTGGCTGAGTGCTCTGGGCAGCCTTTCTTTGCCCCTTTGACCCTGGGAGACAAGTGGGAACGGAGCTCTAGTGTGTGCTCCGGGCGGCGCTGGTGTCCATGGTATAGTGGTGGGCAGGAAGCTCACCCCGCACCAGCACTCACAGTCTGGGGGTCTGACACCATCCCGTGTGGTGCTGTCGAGGTTCAGGACAGGCAGTGGTGAGCCCAGCTGGAACATGGCTCTTGCATGGTCTTGGGTGGTCAGGGAAGACTTCCTGGAGGAAGTGGACTGCTAAACTGAAACCTGAACCCTCAGGAGGACTTGAAGGGGAGGGTTATATTTGAAGCGTTCCAAGTATAAAAAGAGCATGGGCAAAAGACCAGGGGGCAAACGGCTTGGCACATTTGAGGAATTAGACATTATTCCATTCAGCTCAAGGGAGAGTGAGGTGGGAGTGAGGGGAGGCGAGCAGGGACCAGCTCATGAAAAGGCCTGTGTGACATGAGAAGGGATTTGGGGTTTATTCAGACGACCAGTGTTGGAAATGTTTAAACAGTCATGATGTAGCCCAATCTCTCTGCCAGAGGGTAGACTGGAGAGTGAGGCTGGGAATAAGAGATTAGGTAACCTACATGCAGGTGGTCTTTGCAGTCTGAGGCGCAGAGAAGACTGACCAGGCGAGTCTGCAGGGTGATGGGGAAGACGCTGAGAAAGACGCTGGGGAAGCTCCCACCAGGAGCTTCGGGGCTTAAGATTTGGATAGAGAACCCCGAAGGGGACAAAGAATCCACAGAGGACTCAGGAGCACTGGCTGCATGTGGTCTTCTGGAAATTGGAGGAACAGAGCATTTTGACAAGAAGGAAGTCACTTGTGTGAAATGTCATTTCAGGATTGAAAAGAGCCAGTCAGGTTTTGCAGGAAGAGTTGGTTACCTTGGCAAGAATAGTTTTAGGGGGCTGTGAAAGGAGGAAGCAAAATTGCAGTGCAGTGAAACTGAGTCCAGTTTTATGAGCAGAGGGCTGCCTGGCATAAAAGGAGACTTCCGCGAGCTTGTCATCTCTGGCTCGGAGCTGGGAGGGTTGGACCCTAGTTTTTGGATGTGGGTTTTTGTGATATCAAGACTCCTCTCTGTGATACAACTAAATTCAGTTCCTTCATCAGATCTTTTTTTTTTTTTTGACATGGACCATTTTTAAAGTCTTTATTGAATCTGTTACAATATTGCTTTTGTTTTATGTTTTGGTTTTTCGGCCATGAGGCATGTGGGATCTTAGCCCCCAGACCAGAGATCGAACCCACACCGCCTGCATTGGAAGGTGAAGTCTTAATCACTGGACTGCCAGGGAAGTCCCCTCAGATCTCTTTCATGCATTCCTGTTTCCTCCTGTGGATTGAGATCTTGAGATACTTTATTTGTGCGATCTGTTTCCACTCACAGTGGCCCAGTTAATGAGAAAGAACTAGCACCATCTCTCTTTGCACTGGGAGGGTTACTATTGCTGTGCCCTTCTCAGACTCCTATGAGTTCGGATGTCTTGTTATGAGAGCAAGGACTCTGTTCATTCATCTCCATGGTGGTTTTATTTTCTTCTCAATTCCCTTCCGGAAAGGCTCTTGTAGCTGACTTCTGCTTGGGCACGATCCATGCAGGATCCTGCACGGTCCATGGGCACAGACCAGCTGGGCTCCCATCACGTCGTGCAGCCAGATGATGGTCTAGGTGGTTCTGGTGGACCCCTAAAGTGAGGCTGGATATGGGGCCAGGGCAGCCCAGAGAAGTGAGTTTATTGCAGCCTGGAGGCCCTAAATCCAGGCTGGGCCCAAGGCTGCTAGAGATGGATTCAGGTCTTCATAGGGAGGGAGGGGTCACCAGGTATAACCCGGGCCACTGCATACACTGTTGACTTCACTTGGGGCCAGCCTTTTTGTGATAACTCTGACCAAATGTTCACTAATTCTGGACCTGCTGGTGCCCAGCAGGTTTACCAGGTGGGTACCCTACAGGCAGCATTCCATGCAGGGAGTGCTGACCTCAGATTGACAGTCGCCCTGCATGGATGTTGTCTGGTGACTTCTGGTGGCTATAACAACGTTTAGCGTCTCTGTCAGTGTCACAGAGGGGGATGACGAGGAGACCCTCCTCTGTCTGGGCAGTTGCTGCTGTTAGTGTGGAGTATTCTTGAATAGTCTTATCTGTTTGGGGGTTGAGGGTACCCAGGTAGCTCCCTGGTTCCACTGGGAGTGCTTGTGCTCATGGGGCTGCCCCCTGCCCTGGCTGCGGGAGCTGGGAGGGGGAAGGGGTCATGGCTCATGGAGCCATGGCCCATTTGCCTCCAGGAGGAGCTAGCAGCCCTCATCTCCGACCTGAAGCAGGAGCAGAAGAAGGTGGATGAGCAAATGGCCAAACTGGTGAACAACAGGACTCGGATTGTGGTGAGTGCCCCTGCCCTCGGCGCCCCCTGCACGGGGCCAGCCGCCTCCCCTTCCCTTTACAGGAACCGGCGCCTCCCCTATAAAGCCAGAATTTCAAAGCATTCCAGGCGGGGTGGGGAAAAGCGCACAGGCTCCCGGGGGAATTCACCACAGTTGTCAGGGCTGTCTCCAAGTTGGCCTGTGTCCTCCACGTCCTTGGGACCGAGATAACTCAGCCCAGGTCCCGGAGGTAAACAGCTTAACGCGTGGGCATGACTGCCCGGCCCCTGCCACCTGTGTCTGTTTGACCTTGACAGCCTGTGTGATGCCCTCCTGGCACCTTCAGAGCGCAGGCATCGGGAGCCTGCAGCCCTCAGGGGCTGACCGCCTTTCCTAAGTGAGGGGCCCTTGGGGCTGAGAGGGTGTGGAGCCCAGGCCCTACAGGTAGTCATGAAACAGAAGCAGGAGACCAGCGTCCTTGAAAGTCAGCTCAGTGAATCTTCCTCACCCCGGGGAGGGAGACAGCATCACTCCGTCTGATGGAGGCGGAGTCACTGTGCTGAACTGGGCGCTGGGGGCCCAACCTCTGCCCTGCCACTGCTGCCCTCCCCTGGGGCTGCATCCGGGGACCCAGATGCAGTGTGAACACCCCAGCAGGAGTCAGCCCTCAGACTTGGGGATGAGGACCGAGAAGGGTCGGAAGGCCCCAGGAAGGCCTGAGCTGCCAGGCTCTGGGGACGCCGAGGTCAGCCTCGGCTCCTGCTTTGACCGGCCCCTCCCTGTCCCAGAACGAGTCCGATGTTTTCAGCTGGGTGATCCGGCGTGAGTTCCAGGAGCTCCACCACCTGGTGGATGAGGAGAAGGCCCGCTGCCTGGAGGGGGTGGAGGGCCACACCCGCGGCCTTGTGGCCTCCCTGGACATGCAGCTGGAGCAGGCCCGGGGCACTCGGGAGCGGCTGGTCCAGGCCGCGAGTGTGCTGGAGCAGTTTGGCAATGAGAGTCACCATGAGTTCATCCGGGTGAGCGGACAAGGCCCCCATGTCCCCAAGAGCCTCCCCCTTCCTAACGGCTTCTGCACGGCCTCCTCGGTGCCCTAACCTGCCTCCCTCTTGTCTTCCAGAAGTACCACGCCATGGCCTCCAGGTATTCCCCATGCACTTCCAGAGCCGCCTTTGGCCACGTTTATGAGCATCTCCCTGTTTTTTTTTTTCTTTTTCCAATTTCCCTTAGTCTTAAGGACAGTTGGGTTAGAAGCATTGGCTTAAATGAACGGCTAGAGGATCTGATTGGCTGAGTTTGGTTTCCACTCCAGCTGGAGCTAGGGGCAGGGTTCCCCTGATTCAGAGGCATGCTCTTCAAGCAGCGCATCAGAGCCACCTGGAGGGCTCTTTAACTGCAGATCCCTGGACCCCCGTCATCAGTTCTGAGTCAGCAGGTCTATGGAGAAGGAAGTGGCAACCCACTCCAGTATTCTCGTCTGGAGAATCCTGTGGACAGAGGAGCCTGGTGGGCTGCTGTCCATGGGGTCGCATAGAGTCAGACACAACTGAAGTGACTTAGCAGCAGCAGCAGCAGCAGGTCTGGGATGGGACCCAAGAAAACTTGCATTTCTAACAAGGCCCAGGTGATGTGGTGCTGCTGGTCCCAGACCTGCCCTTTGAGAGCTGATGTGGAGTGTTTCCGGGATGGAGGCAGGGCCCCAGAGCGCAGTTGGTGGGGGGACATGATGGGCCTCTCAAGTGCACGGTCTTCTGAGCGGGGACTCGGCTGGTTGGACCTGCACATGGATGACAAGGCTGGGGTACTTGGGTGAGCAGCTCCGTTGTCACTGTGAACCTTTGACCCCAGCCCAGAGCTCCAGCAGGCCCGACTCTCAGAAGGTGCCTTCAGCCCCATCTCCTTCAAGCCAGGCCTGCACCAGGCTGACATCAAGCTGACGGTGTGGAAAAGGCTTTTCCGAAAGGTTCTGCCAGGTGAGCCCCCCGGCCCAATCCTTCCATTATATGAGGCTGAAGGGAGGCTGGGGCAGCTGACAGGGCGCAGGGCTGCGCTTCTGCCAGCAGGGGGTGCTCAAACTCAGCTCCATCTCTAAGTGGTGACTGGGTGAGTGGTGTAATTTCTGAGACTTGGGTTTCCCTTTTTTTAAAAAAAAATTTGGCTGCGCTGGGTCTTAGTTGCAGCTCATGGGATCTAGTTCTCTGACCGTAGGTCAAACCCCTCCCCTCACCCCTGCATTGGGAGCTCAGAGCCTTAACTACTGGACAGGCAGAGAAGTCTCTTGAGCCTCAGTTTCGTCATCTATAGTCCCTGAGCCTGTTTCTTAGTCTGTAAGGAGCTCACCTTGCTGGGCTGTGTGGTTTCTAAATAGATAAGTGCGATTTGTGTGCTCAGTCATGTCCAGCTCTTTCAACCCCATGGACTGTAACCTGCCAGGCTCCTCTGTCCATGGGATTCTCCAGGCAAGAAAACTGCAGTGAGTTGCCATTTCCTACTCCAGAGGATCTTCCTGACCCATGGATCGAACCCAGGTCTCTTGTGTTGGCAGGCTAATTCCTTACCACCTGGGAGGGTGTGTGTAGTTTAGCGCTTAATAAATGGCAGCTGCTGCTTTGCCAAAAAATAACTCAGACATTTAACTCCTTCATTACTAGCACACGAGGGAAATCAGACTGATTTCACCCAACAAAGGCAAAAACAGGTTCGCTATAAGAGGAAGAGGAGGGGGCTTCCCTGGTGATCCAGTGGCTGAGACTGTTCTCCCAATGTAGGAGGCCCGGGTTCAATCCCTGGTCAGGGAACTAGATCCCACATGCCACAGTTAAGACCCAGGGAAGCCAAATAAATATATTTTAAGAAAAGGGAAGACAGGAGAGAGAAAAAAGACCTGCAGATAATCTCTGAACCATGAACTTTGTTTGCACGTTTTGGGTAGAGACTGGTCAGCTGACAGGGAGCACAGAGGTCGTTTGGTATAGTTTGTCCTTGACTGGGCTGCTGGCATACCCACAGAAGCCACTGCAGTTGTTAGAATCTCCAGAAAACCTGGGGAGTGGAGCTGAGGCGCCCACGTGACAGGCTGTCTCTCAGGTCCTTCCATCGGCACCTCCACTTTAGGCAGAGTTTCTGGCTGGAACGCCTGGGCTCACCGTGGCCCATTCTCCACCCTTCAGGCATTGCTCGCTCCTTCAGAGAGTTGGGATTGCCTGCTCTGGCTCCACCCTTGCCAGGCCCTGTCGACACAGGGATGAGGGACTCGGTTCTTCCAAGGAGCTCAGGGCTTCCCGCTGGTCTCCCTTGGGCAGGGCCAGCCGCCTTCTGCGCGGCTTGAACACACTTCCCCTCTGCTCTCCCCCCAGCCCCGGAGTCCCTCAAGCTGGACCCGGCCACGGCCCACCCGCTCCTGGAGCTCTCCAAGGGCAACACGGTGGTGCAGTGTGGGCTCCTGGCCCGGCGGCGCGCCAGCCAGCCCGAGCGCTTCGACTACAGCACATGTGTCCTGGCCAGCAGGGGCTTCTCCTGTGGCCGCCACTACTGGGAGGTGGCAGTGGGCAGCAAGAGCGACTGGCGCCTGGGGGTCATTAAGGGCACGGCCAGCCGCAAGGGCAAGCTGAGCAAGTCCCCGGAGCACGGCGTGTGGCTCATCGGCCTGAAGGAGGGCCGCGTGTACGAGGCCTTCAGCTGCCCCCGGGTGCCCCTGCCCGTGGCGGGCCACCCCCACCGCATCGGCGTTTACCTGCACTATGAGCAGGGGGAGCTCACCTTCTTCGACGCCGACCGCCCTGACGACCTGCGGCCACTCTACTCGTTCCAGGCCGACTTCCAGGGCAAGCTGTACCCCATCCTGGACACGTGCTGGCATGAGAGGGGCAGCAACTCCCTGCCTATGGTGCTGCCGCCACCCAGTGGGCCTGGCCAGCTCTCCCCACTGCAGCCCACCAAGCTGTAGGGCTGCCTTTCTGCTTGCCATGGGGGCTTGAGGGGTCCTGCTGACTCTGGTGAGCGGAGGCGATGACTTCCTTGTTTGGGGAGGTCTTTGCCTGGGTTCCCCTAGAAACATTTATTGTTGGGAGAATGCCTACGGTAGCCAGGGGCATGTTTATTAACCTCTATCTGGGCTATTAGCCTGCTTATTAACCAGCAAAGCCAGGCCTTGGGGTCCAAGGATCAAGCTGGGCTTCCCTTGTGCATGCACACTCAGTCACTTCAGTCATGTCTAACTCTTTGAGACCCCATGGACTGTAGCCTGCCAGGCTCCTCTGTCCATGGGGATTCTCCAGGCAAGAATACTGGCGTGGGTTACCATGCCCTTCTCCAGATCTTGCCGACCCAGGGATCAAACCCACGTCTCATATCTTCTGTATTGGCAGGCAGGTTCTTTACCACTCATGCCACCTGAGAAGACCAGCCTTCTCTCAGCCCCTGCTAACCATGATTGCTGCTTACTCTTCCTCCTGAGGGTGGAAACACTCCCACACATAATTCCCCCATCACTATGAACTTTAAGGATAATAAAACAGACGTTATTTCTTCCTTGTCAAATGATTTGCAATGATCAGTTGCTGCCCATGCACGCTGTTTTATGCTCAGGTCTTTAAAAGCAGCTCCAGCCTCTGGTGGGGCCGCATCTCGCAGCCCTTTGATTTCCATACCATCCTTTCTGGCGTGGGCAACAAGGCCTCCATGAGCTGCTGCCTTTGGCTAATCTTCCTCCTGCCGTCTGTGTAAGTAATAATCAAAAGCTGCTTCCTGTCTCTTTTTTTGGAAAATTTAAAAAATTTACTTGTTAATTTTTTTGGCCATGCTGGGTCTTCATTGCTGTGCGCAGGCTTTCTCTAGTTGTGATGGACAGGCTTCTCACCGCGGTGGCTTCTCTGGTTGTGGAGCACGGTTCTAGCTGCACGGGCTCAGTAGCTGGGGCTCCTGGGCTCTAGAGCACAGGCTCAGGAGTTGTGGTGCACAGGCTTAGTTGCTCCATGGCACGTGGAATCTTCCAGATCAGGGATCAAGCCTTGTGCCCTGCTTTGGCAGGTGGATTCTTAGCCACTGGACTATCAGGGAAGTCCTGCTTGTTGTGTCTCGATCAGCTGCATCTGTCGGGCGTTGGCCTCGGTTACTGCATGCGTGACGCCTTCCAGACTTGGTGTTCGGTTGTGTAGCTCTTCCTTCAATTCCATGACTGTACCTCTGCCTTCCATCCTGTGTGGCCCAGGGGGCTGGCCTCGCTGGAATGCACATCATTCTGGCTTCCTGTTGAGTTCAGCTGATGGGAGGGGCTGGCAGGAGATCCCAGGGCAGGAGAAGGGAGTTGGAGGTACTTATTTTCTTGTTTTTCTGCCAACTGGGCTATGCATGCAGGGTCCCCCCTCTTTGCAACTCTTTCTATATTGCTGGTGGTGAAGAGCACTGTCGCCAGCCCTGAATTCTGCACCATCACCCGTAGGCCCCCTCACCTCTGACCATTCTTTTTAGAAAGAGTCCCTTTAAACTCTCCTCAGCGACTCCCTTGTGTGTACCACCCTGCCTTCAGCCAGGCCATGAAGGACATGATGGCATACTTCTGCACCCATTTAATAAATCCTCTCTTTCAACTGGCTAACCAGAGTAAGTGTTTGTGCTTGCAACAGAAAGATCTTAACTGATACACATCTAATATGCAAGAGACAGAGGAAAGAACAGTTAATTATTCACTTGGAATTGGCATTTAAACTGAAAGAAGTGGAACGCTGGCAGAGGAGAAGAGCCTGCAGGGATCTAGGTTCAAAAGGGATGCTCCTGCAGGGGGCCCACTTCCCTGGCGGTCCAGGGGTTAAGACTCTGCCTTCCAATACAGGGTGCGAGGGTTCAATCCCTAATCTAGGAAAGAAGATCCCACATGCCATGCAGTGCAGCCAACAAAACAAAATGGGATGCTGCAGCTGGGACTGGAGACGAGGATAGGGGCTGGTTGGGGTGGAGGGTGTGCATCTATGCTACTTTAGTGTATGTTAACTTTGTCCCATACTAACAACACTGTGGAAGTGGGTGAGTCTGCCCTGGGGGAGAAAATATCAGACCAATGGAAAGGAGGTCAGAGAATGGAACACCAGAACCTAGTGGAGCAACTTAGGCAGGGTGGCCAAGGAAACTTAGACCTGGGCAGAGAGATGGGAGGGAATGCCAGCAGAGGAGGTCATAGAAGGCAAAGCTTGCCAACAAAGAAGGTGTGTTCAACAGTGCCATGAAACCCTAGATTCAGAGTCTCTGCTCCCACTGCAGGGGGCGCAGGTTGGAGCCCTGGTCAGGGAACTAAGATCCCACACGCGGTGCAGCAGTCAGTGGATTTACGCGTGAAATGATGAAGCCATAGATAATTTCTGTATTGTACAGGTGTGAAGTGGTTTTCAAGTGTGACATCAAGGGCAGAAACCATAAAGGTAATATTTTTAAAATGAGAACTTCATGGTGTCCAAAACAATTATAAACCACATTAAAAGAATAAACTGGAAAAACGGCAAAACCTAAGAGGTATATATTATTAATATATAAAGGGCACTAACAGATAGTAGAGGGGTGAGCAAAAGACATTTACATGTCATAAGAAATACAAACGACCAATAACAGGAAAATGTTTAACCTCAATCACAGAACTTAAAACATCAATAAGATCTCATTGTTTGCCTGTGATATCGGCAAGGATTGAAAGGAAAAACGCAAAGAGCTGCGAAGAAGTGGTCAGCTGGGGTCTCTGCGTTGGCCTCCAGACCCTTACAGGAGTGTGAACTGCCACACGCCCTGGGACCACCAGAATGGGTACTGGGACTTCCGGGTACGGAACACCCGTGCCCTTTGACCCCGGAAGTCAGGTGGGGCGGTGCAGAGCTGCGCTCGCCTCGCGACAGAGCCGTAAAGGCGCGCCGGCGGGCGCGGAGCATGGCGGTGTATACGGCAGCGGCGGCCGTGTTGGCCGGCGTGGAGAGCCGCCAGGGTTCGCTCAAGGGGCTGGTGTATGCAAGCAACTTCCAGGTAGCAGGGTTCGGGGTTCGTGCCCGGGAGGGGGGGCCCCGGCAGGGGGCTAGCTCGGCCCGGCCCGCGTCTCACTTGGGTCCTCTCGGCCGAGCGCAGAACGTGAAGCAGCTGTACGCGCTGGTGTGCGAGACGCAGCGCTACTCCGCGGTGCTGGACGCCGTGATCGCCAACGCCGGCCTCCTGCGAGCCGAGAAGAAGCTGCGGCCGCACCTGGCCAAGGTAACAGGAGGGTGAGCCCCTCCTAACCTTAGGGTCTCTGCTCCGCCGCCTTCCACCGTGTGATGCTAGCAAGTCGCTCCTCCGAAATGAGGCGCAGCCCCTCGGTGGTTTATGAATTGAGAGGAGGTGCACATGCTTTAACTTCGAGCCTTGTGTGAAAGATTAAGAACATAAGACCAAAGTGTTGATAGCGCAGCAAGCTCTGTTTAGGTAAAACGAAAGGGTGATGTTGACAAGGGAGGAGAGTTCAGACCCAGAGGTTTTCCTGGTGAGAAGCCATGGGGAAGGGGTTCGGGACTGGGAAGCCAGGCGCCAGGTTCAAATCGTGTTAGTTCAGTCGCTCAGTCGTGTCAGATGGTGTGCTTGCCCGTTAATTTCTTGATCTTGAACAAGGTAGCTCACTTTTACCCATCTTGATAGGTGGTCTGTTTAACTCTTCCAGTTCCAGCACTGTGGAGTTCCAGGATATTCATACTCAAGGTTTTCTTGCCTCCTTTCTCCATCCCAGGTGCTAGTATATGACTTACTGCTGGGGAAAGGCTTTAGAGGGCGCGGGGGCCGATGGAAACCTCTGCTGGAGCGGCACCAGGCCAGGCTGAAGGCTGAGTTGGCCCGGCTCAAGGTTCGTCAAGGTGTGAGCCGGAACGAGGACCTGTTGGAAGTTGGATCCAAGCCTGGCTCAGGTGAGCTGGGAGGTGTTGTGGAGGTGGGGGATAGCCATCAGGCCCTCAGGAGAGGGCCTGGTTCCAGCCCACTCATTGCTGATTGCTTCCTAGCCTCCCAGGTGCCTCGATTTGTGCGAGTGAACACTCTGAAGACCTGCACTGAAGATGCCATTGATTACTTTAAGAGACAAGGTTTCTCCTACCAGGGTCGGGCTTCCGGGTGAGTTTAGAACCCTGCCTGAGCGTGGAATGGGCTTCCCAGGTGGCTCAGTGGTTAAGAATCAGCCTACTGATGCAGGTTCAATCCTTGGATCGGGAAGATCCCCTGGAGGAGGAAATGGCAGACCACTCCATTACCCTTGCCTGGAAAATCCCTTGGACAGAGGAGCTTGGCAGGCTGCAGTCCGTGGGGGCCGCAAAGAGTCAGACGTGACTGAGCATGGAATGCAGTACTAAATAGAAGTGACTAGAGTAGGCGTCTTGTCTTGTGCCTGAGTTTTAGAGGAAGAACTTTCAGCCTTTCCCCATTGAGTGTGATGTGAGCTGTGGGTTTGTTATATACAGACTTTATTATGTTGATATATGTTCCTTCAGTACCAAGTGTGATGAGAATTTTTATCATGAGTGGATGCTGAATTTTCTCAAATGCCTTTGCTGCATCTGTTGAGATGGTCATGTGATTTTTGTCTTGTTTGCGGTATATCACACATTGATTACTTTGTGGATATGGAACCATACTTGCATCCCTGAACTTGGCATCTTGTGCATTCCTTGTTTTAACAGATGTCACTATGACACACCCATTTGGTCAGAGTAGAAACTGAGTCATCGTACATGCTTCCCTCCTCTTTGTCTCGTCATTTACTACTCTGCCTTTGGTGTCTTTCCCCAGCCTTCTGGATACTGCCTGGGTTTAAGCATCATATCCTGTCGTGATTGGCACAAGAACCCTCAGCTGGTCTCCCCACATTCAGACTTTCTTGTCATGCTCGTCCTCTTTGTGTTGGCTGCAGAAAGTTCTGAACCCAGATCTGACCCTTGGCCCTCTGAACCCTTGGCCCTCCGCCGGACTGTGCCCCCTGCCTCCTTTCCAGGCCTGCTGTGCACACAGGTCTGCCGTGCACTTGTGTTCTCACGGTGGTTGCTGCTCCGTGCCCAGGCCCCCCGCCCTGCCCCTGCGCTCTCCTCCCTCCTGTTCTGTCCTTTCACAGCTCTGAGAAGCGGCCTCCTCCCCCTCCCTCTCCTTCATCTGTTGTAGACGTCTCCCTGTCGGCCTTCAGCGTGTTGCTTGGAGACCGGGGTGGCAGAGAATGGCTGTTTAGGTTTGGATGCCAGCTCTGCTACTTGTTGGGCTTCCCTGGTGGCTTAGACGTAAAGAATCTGCCTGCAGTGGGGGAGGCCTGGGTTTGATCCCCGAGTTGGGAAGATCCCCTGGAGAAGAGAATGGCAACCCACTCCAATTTTCTTGCCTGGAGAATTCCATGGACAGGAGTCTGGTGGGCCACAGTCCATGGGGTCGCAAAGAGTCAGACACGACTGAGTGACTCACTTGTATTTCTGCTACTTGTTAGCTTTCTCATCTGAGTTGTTATTCTCTCATGTTTTCTACATGGTCAAGTGAATGGACAGTGCTTCTCCATAGTTTAGAGAACGAAGTTTTCACCTCAGCTCCTCAGGGTACTTATTCATTCATCAGGAATCGACTCAGTACTCACTTCCCTGTATCAGGCCCCTCTTCCCAGGGTTATGTTCTGATAGTACTGGCTGTTGCGAGCCTAATGTGTGCGAAATCTTTTCCTGCAAGGTTTGCATGTCATTTAATCCCCACCTACCGTTGTCCAGAAGTACAGAGGCTGAGGTGCCCAGGCCTCCACCTCTGGGATCCTCTGGACGCAGAGTCTGGCCTGAGAACCCCTTCTCTTAACCTTTGCCTCTATCTTATCAGTGTGTTAATATCCTCAGAGCAGTTTTAAGCATTTGTCACATCAATAAGCAGCCAGGTGACGTGTGAAGTGCCTGGCTGGTGCCTGGCACGGAGGGATGCGTAAAACGTGGAATAAGCAGTTCGTATTCCCTGGCAGCCTCGAGGACATCAGGGCCCTCAAAGGGAAGTGTTTTCTCCTGGATCCCTTGCTGCCAGAGTTGCTTGTGTTTCCTGCCCAAACAGATCTGCATGACCATCCACTGTACCAAGCCGGTCACCTCATCCTACAAGACAAGGTAGGGAGGATGGGTGGAAAGGGGGGAAGCATGTGGGGAGTGGTCAGCCTGGGGCCTCGGTTCACCCAGCCTCCGTGCTCTGCACCGCCAGGCGAGCTGTCTCCCGGCCATGCTGCTGGCTCCGCCCCCAGGGTCCCACGTCATTGATGCCTGCGCTGCCCCGGGCAATAAGACCAGTCACCTGGCTGCTCTTCTCCAGAACCAAGGGTGAGTGCCACGGTCAGACAGGAGTGGGGTGGGATCTGATCCTGTACTTTGTAGGAAGAGATAAGGAACAGTTATTCCAGTAAGTCCTGCAGGCTGAAAGGAGGCCTTGCCTTTCAGCATTTCCTTCTGGACCTAGTGCAGTTCCCTAAGCTTCCCAGTGGGCGGCAGGTATGAGATGCGAGTCCCCTAGCCCTCGGAGCACAGGGCCCAGGCCAGCTATTTCTGACCGCTGAGCCTTTTCATTTAGAATTTAAAGACATTTAAATAGTCTGTGTGTCCTAACTGCAACTATGTGTCAGAGCTGTGGGCTCTTAGACGCTCTGTCAAGTTCTCAGTTCACCTCAACTCGGTCGTCCTCCCTAGGAAGATCTTCGCCTTTGACCAGGATGCCAAGCGGCTGGCATCTATGGCTACCCTGCTGGCCCGAGCAGGGGTCTCCTGCTGCGAGCTGGCCGAGCAGGACTTCCTGGCGGTCTCGCCCTCGGACCAGCGTTATTGTCAGGTCCAGTACATCTTGCTGGATCCCTCCTGTAGTGGCTCTGGTGAGATGGCGGGGAGCACGACACGGCCCCACGGACCCAGAGCAACCTTGGAGCATGAGGGGCGGTTGGGTGTCCTGGCCTGAGGTTTGGTTCCTGTGACCCTTGGCAGACATGCTCACCTGGAAGCAGGACCCGCTTTTCCAGGCTGGGTGTGCTGAAAGCACTCTTCCCTAGGGATGCCCAGCAGACAGCTGGAGGAGCCCAAGGCTGGCACGCCGAGCCCAGAGCGCCTGCGAGCGCTGGCCGCCTTCCAGCAGCGGGCACTGAGCCACGCGCTCATGTTCCCTGCCCTGCGACGCCTCGTCTACTCCACGTGCTCCGTCTGCCAGGAGGAGAACGAAGACGTGGTGCGAGCCGCTCTGCAGCAGAGCCCAGGCGCCTTCAGGTAGTGGGTGTCCACCAGGGCCGTGGGGAGGGGGCCACCTCAGACCTGGCAGCCCACCCCACTTCCTGCCTGCAGGCTGGCTCCTGTCCTCCCCTCCTGGCCACACCGAGGCCTGGGCGCTTTTCCAGGCGTTGAACACTGCCTCCGGGCCTCTCCCGAGACCACGCTCACTGGGGGCTTCTTCATCGCGGTGCTTGAACGGGCAGAGGTGCCGAGGTGAGTGACGGGGGACCTCCCTGGAAGAGGCTGGGGGATTGGGGCACGTCTCACGCCCATTACTTTTCTTCTAGCTCCGTCTCACAGGCTGAAGCACCAGTCTCAGAGCTGACACTCGGCCCCGCCCCAAAGAGGAGGAAGAGGCGGCGAAAAGCGACGGCTGCCCCCAGCACACAGCCCGGCACATAGCGGGGGCGCACAGTGCCGACTCTTCTCAGGGCCTCGGCCCCAGGTGGCAGTTTGGTTATGGCTGGAGGAGGAAGACCGGGAACCCTGTTCCTCAGCTGGAGGGAGACGGGACCCTCCTCTGCTTTGGGTCCTTTCCTTGGGTTGTGCTTTTGCGGGTGAGACGCACTGCTGCTCACAAAAATAAAACGCAGGACATGGTCTATGATAGATCACAGTTTTTTTTATTCTTAATGACATAAGCAAGGAGAAAAATCTCACATTCATACTAAAAATTCCAACTAGACTCACAGGAATTCAGTCTTCGTTTACAAGGGAAAGTCCCAGCCTCCCGTCCCTGTCCAGTGCACGTACGTGTCCACACCCGCATTCACACACTCACACTCGGGGCAGGGGGCTCCTGGACCAACTGTCCCGCCTGTGGAGCTGAGGTAATCGAGCTGAGGGTCTGCCTTCCATGAGGTGTGGGCAGCAGCCTGACTTCTAGACCCACGCCCGCCCCTCCCATCCGAGCAAGCACGCGGGACTCAGGCCCCCTCAGCTCCACACGCAACAGAGCTCTCGGGGTGGGAGGCGCGTCACCCGCCATGAACCATTCACCCTCAGGCACAAAGGGGAGGGGACTAGTTACACCTACGTCACATTATTCATAAAATAAGAATTACATTTTCTGTTTCCAGAAGGAGCTCAAGTCCCTCAGGAATGCTGCCGGGACAGCATCTGAGCCTCTTCTTCACACAGGCATAACTTAACTCTACACAACTAATCTCTAGTCAAATAGCATTTATACTGAACCACCTCAATGAACCAAGCTTGAAGGAATTTAAAAGGCAATTTAGCTTAAATACAAAAATAAATTTTTATTGTTAAAAAATGTTTAAATATTTTTTTTTTCTTTTAATTTAGACACACGCATTCATACTTCTCCCAAAGAGGATGGGCATGGCAGCAAGGCTCATGGGCCTGGGGTAAGGGGTTTTGGAACAAAGGGAGAAGGGAAGGGATGGAGGAAGTAAGACAACAATTTTAAAATGTGGTTCGTTAATTTAGGGTTTCTACCATATATTACAAACAGTGAGGTTAGGTAGGTGGGAAAGAAAGCACAGGGCAGAAGCCTTGGCTTCCCCTTGGCCCCATCCTCCTGGGCTGCCAGCCCTTAAAGTCGAAACACCATGTGAGAATTCAAGACTCGGCACTTGTAGCCGCAGAGTGGTGCCACTTTCCACACTCAATTAGCGAGGCCCCAGAAACTTGAGAAACAGTTAAGTCCGGCACTACCAACATGCCGCCACTCATACAATTCAATTCTTCCTCCAAACTCGATTCAAAGAGCAATAGACATGAGCATCAGACAAAATAACACAGGACAAAGCTTCAAACAGATGATCCCGGAGAGGCAGACAGGCCCAGTGAGGCCAACGGGGATGGTGGGTGAGGAGGCAGCTGAAAGCAGTGGGGTGGGTGGCTGTGTGTGGGGGGTGTGTCCTGCCTGTGCCAAGAGCTTCCCTCTCCCGGAGGAGGCACCACCCCTGGGTCTGCCAGGCTAACAGTCTTGAGCCACCAAGCTTTGAGGGGTCAAACTGGCAGAGTGGGTTGGGGATGAAAGGTTGGCTCGGACTTGGCAGGAGGAAGTGGAATAGCAGGAGCTGCACCTGCTGGGGTCTCCAAGGCAAAGCTAGACTCAGGATCACTTTAAAAGGAATTGACCCTGCAAGGAACTGGTGAGGGATGAAGCAGCAAGAAGTGGAGAAACAGAGTCCCCTCATGGGACTGGAAGGGGAAAGCCACTTGTACAGCCAAGCCAAGCCCGGTGCAGCTTTGGGGACAGTCCACCCCAACCCATCAAGTGCACAGAGATGCAGGTGGTGGGGCTTGACCTGCTAGCCTCCAGCCAAGATGGTTCTCGGGGAGAAGGCGGGCAGGGGGCTGCCTGCCTGAGCTTACACACTACACGAGCGTTGGGGAAGGAAGTGGACAGTATGTACAGATGTTTCTTTAGTTCTCTCCAGCTTCACCAGTTCAACTGTTCAAGTAAGGTAACAGGCTTCTGCCCTGCCACGTCCCTCCCCCATGACCCCCCAGACCTGGGGCTTCTGCTTCCTGAAAGAGGGAAACAGCCCCTGGAGCTGCCACTACCTCCCTGGGGCTGAAGCCAGAGGTCTGGGGTTGGTCTGCTTTATGGAACTAGAAGGATCGGAGGCTCTTCCTAGCAGGTGCCGAGGTCCAGATTTGGGCAAGGGGTGGTGGGGGGCTGGGTGAGGGACGAAGGCTACTTCTTGCGGGTATGCTGCCTCCGGGCCTGCAGCCGCTGTCGAGCCCCTGGGGTCTTGGATCCCGCACCAATGGAAAAGGAAGGGGCTGTCGATCCTGGAAAGATTCAACAAGATCTCAGAGCGGCTGGGACCCGGGAGCGCTTCTCTAAAGAACACTGGGCAATGGAAAAAGGCAATCCCTCTGGGAGAGGCGCTGGTTAAAAATGCAAAATCGCAAGACCACAGATAGTCTGGGAACAAGGCCCAGGCCGGCATTTTCACCTGGCTTCTGAGTGGTCAGTTGCCCAACTCCAAACGTGGGCAGTGCTGGACTCCTGGACCGGCCTTGGACAGCTGGACGCTGCCAGCCCGCCCTACCCTTCTTCAGAGAGGAGACAAGGTCACACTGGCCACTTACCGAAAGGTCCGACTCCGACAAAGCCTTGGGCAGGCGCTGAGGACGCCCCAAAGGAGAGGCTGCTGCCAGCTGCGCCCACTGCAGGGGCTGGGGTGTTCTGACCGAAGGTGGGCGTGGAGGTGCCTAGGATGGAGAGAGAGAGCGCTGTGGGGGCCAGGCTGCAGAGCAGTGGTTGGGGGAGCCTCAAGGGAGCTCGGCTCCTGGCAGGGCCTTCCCGCAGGACACCTGGGCTCTGGGTCCCCCACCTAAGGACAGCACCGACCTTCACACCCGCTACCCCGGGCGAGTCTCCCAGCTAGCCGCCAGTGGTGCCACAGCAGGGCAGGCTTCTGGCCACCTAAGGAGCAGGGCCCCTGCATTTCCTCGACCAGCAGACCCAGCACAGGGGCCGACTCAGTGGACCTCCGCCTTTAGCCTGAGCCTGACTACCTGCCCCCTGTCAGGACTAGCTAGATGCATTCAGTCTCTTCTTGTTCACTTGTCCTCCCCGCTCTGCCCTGTGGGTCCCCTGAGGCCCACTGGGACTCCCCACCCAGCCCTGCTGTCCCTTCAGCCCTGCCTTCTCTCTCATAGGGGGAGGCTGGCTGGGGGGGGTGGGTGTGAAAGGCAGATTTCTGCCACTCTGGCTTTCCCTCCCCTCCCCACTCCCACCTCGTCACCACCACTGCTCCAGACCCCACCTCCTGTCAGCCTCCCCAGAACACACGGCCACCACCCCTCCCACTGTACTTGCTTCAGATTCAACATGGTGGCTTCCCCAGCTACCACTTAACTTAGACCTACATCTCACAACTGAACGTGGCTAGGAAAACAGTGCTGACGGGCCTCTCACGACCACACTATGAGTGTGTGATGCTGCTTGTGATCCTACACCATCTCCCCGGCTCCGAAGTGACTACTCGGGAGGTCCTATGGGGCCCTCTCACACCTGCCTCCACCCATACCCAAAACCCTCCTCGTCACCAACAGTCTGAGATTAAGTCCATACTTTCTCAGAAAGGCATTCCTCTGCACTCAGTAATCACATATTTTACCAAGAAACTGATACTGTATCGATGCATTTAATGCCAGTCTCTTCACTACCACAATATAAAGCTCCAAATGGGTGGATGCTGCCCAGCAGGCCAAGTCAACTTGTGATCATACCTCCAAACACAGGTTTGCTGTCCGGCGTGGTCACATTGAAGGCAAAGGGTGTGTTCTGGTTGGGTGCGCCCAAGCTGTTTTGACTCAAGCCTCCCCCAAAAGGCGCTGTGCTGCCAGTGGTCCCACTCTGTCCTGCCCCGAAGCCAAACGCTCCAGAGGCAGCGCTGGTGCCCGGGGTGGCCACACTCATCCCAAAGGCCCCACTCCCAGCTGGGGCCACAGGCCCCCCAAACGTGAAGGGCGACGGCGTCGTGCTGCTGAACACTGAGCCGCTGGTCCCGCTGCTGGTGGTCTGTGTGGTAGTGCCAAAGCCAGAGGTGGTGGCTGCACCAAAGGAGAAAACAGCTGTGGCACTGCCAAAGGCCGGCCGGGTGCTGGCGGTGGTGCCAAAGGCGGAGGGTGTGGCTTTCAGACCGCCGAACGCCGGGTGCGCAGCGCCACCGAACGCTGGCTGGGCTGGGGTCGGCGCTGGGGTTGCAGTCGGGGCTGGAGCCGCAGAGTTTCCAAAAGCAAAAGAGCTGCCAAAGCTGGGCACGAGAGCCGGCTTGGCAGCCCCCTGTGGCTGCCCCTCGGCGGCCCCGAAGGTGGGCTGGGGGTTGGCCCCCGGGTGGGATGCAAGCGGGGGCTTGGCGCCTGAGGCGAAGGGCATGCTGAAGGCCGGGGCGGTGCTGCTGCTGAACGTCAGCGTGGGCTGGCCGGCGGTGGCCGGGGCGGAGGTGCTGAGGCTGCTGCCAAAACCACTGAAGCCAGCACTGCTGCTGCTGCTGCTGGGGGCTGTCTGAGGGGCACTGGGAAGCGACTGGCCAAAGGTGGTGACTGATGTGGAGGCGGGCATGGCGGGGGGCTTTCCAAATTGGAATATGGAGCCCCCAGTTGGGGTGAAGCTGGCACCAGAGGTCGGGGGAGTCCCAAAGAGGAAGGGCTGGGAGGTGGAAGCAGTGGTGCTAGTCACGCTGCTCAGGGTGCTGGTCACACTGCTCACACCGAAGCTGAAGGCAGGCTTCGGGGCAGAGTCTGTGGAGGTGCTGGCCGTGCTCACGGAAGTCACTGTGGAGGTGGCAGTGGCCTGGCCAGTGAAGAGAGGGGCACTCGTGGGAGTGGCCAGAGTAGCTGTTTGCTTGAAGAAGGGAGTTAACCCGGGCATAGATGTGGGTGGCCCCACGCTGCTAAAGATTGGCTTGAAAGCGGGGGCTGGGCTGCTGGTAGTCGTGGGGAGGGCCGAGCTGGAAGATGCCACGGCCGTGACCGTGGAAGGGCTAGAGGGCAAGGGGTCCCCATTCTCGCTTTTCGGGGGGGCCACAAAAATGGGTTTGAATGTGGGCGATGCTGAAGACACAGCAGGGGCTACAGAGGCAGGAGGGTTAGCAGCTGGGGTGCTCAGCATTCCAAACAGGATACTCTGCTTGGGACTGGGAGGAGGGGTAGACAGGGCCTGGGATTTGACGGATGTCTCAGCCGAAGGAGACTTGGCGGCATCGGTGACGGGTCCTGGGGAAGAAGCTGGGGTCAGCCCCAAGAGAGCAGTGGTGGATCTGGAGTCAGAGGAGGTGGCCGGAACGGCCCCTGACTGTGAGGAGCTCAGAGAGGCCAGAGGACCGGGTGTCTTCGGAGGCGAATCGGCCACAGTGGTGGTCACTCCAGCAGGTTCTGGGAAGAAGAGTAGAGAAAGCGAATTTAGAATACTTCAGATATGACGGCACTCAAAGCCCAGCATAGTGCTTGGGATTCACCAGTCAACAATTATGACTAAATCCATGTCACAGAACTTTAAACTGTTCACTCTTGAAAACAGGCCAGTGTGCATAATCACTACCCTTCACAGATCATAAGATTTCAGAAGAGGATAAAACGTGGGCCCCGTTGGGAATTACATGTACAGAAACAAAGAAAATCCCAATCACCTGAACTTAAGTCCAGTTAATAACTAGATACACCTTATACAGCTAACAAAGACGCTCTGCACTACATTCACCCGCCAGGTGCAAGTAGAGAGCATATAACCATGACTGAGGAGACGGTCTGACCATGAGCCCAGGTATTCAGAACCGCTGAACACCTAACACATTCTACGATACGATGAAGTGCAGTAGAGGAGTGTGTGTACACGCAGTGCCAGGAAGTCTGAACAGCAGCAGACCTTGGAAACTTCGGGAAGAGTCAGATTACCTTGTGACTGTAGTCTAAGCGTGTGATAAGACACCCTAACCATGTGATCAGGGACACTTCCGCCCGCAACACCTCATGAGGTCAGCATTATTTTCTCGTCTTACAGATGATGACTAACAAGGCTCAGAGGAGCTGAGGGACTGGGTTTCAAATCAAGAGCCACTTGGAGACCAAAACTCAGCTGCCTTCCTTAGCTCTGAGTGTTGCAGCCCTTCCCTAAAACTGATGAGATTCTAAAGCTCTTAAGCATGCACCAGCTCTGGTTAGAGGAGCTAGAACAGGGTCAACCTTTATAACAATTTCCAGGAACTGACGAGCATGGTGCTTTCACTTCTTTAAAAAAATTTTTTTAATTCAATTACTCAGCTGTGTTGGGTCTTTGCTGCTGCACGTGGGCTTTCTCCAGGGGCTGTGAGCAGGGGCTGCTCTCTAGTTGTACGTGCACTTCTCACTGTGGGGGCTTCTTTTGCTGTGAAGCAGTGGCTCCAGGCACCCAAGTTTCAGTAGTTGTGGCTCACAGGACCTAGAGCACGTGGGCTAAGCTGCCCTGCAATATGTGGAATCTTCCCGGACCAGGGATCAAATCTGAGTCCCCTCACATGTACACCCATGGCTGATTCATGTCAGTGTACAGCAAAACCCACCACAATATTGTAAATTAGCCTCCAATTAAAATAACTAAATTAATTTTAAAAAAAATCTGAGTACCCTACACTGGCAGGTGGATTCTTATCCATATACCACCAGGGAAGTCCTGGCGATTTTACTTCTACCTAAACAAAGGCTGATGTCATTACACGTGCCAACGTAAGCTCTCCTGGGAACTCCCTAGCAGTCCAGTGGTTAGGACTCCACGCTTCCACTGCAGCAGCCTGGGTTTGATGCCTGGTCAGGGGATTGAGATCCTACAAGCTGTGTGATGCAGCCAAAACACAAACAAAACAAAGGAAGCTCTCCCACTCACCAGGGAGGGGAGGTAGGCCCGGGGAATTCTGCATCTTCTTTAAGCTCTCCAACAGTGGGTTAGCGCTGGGGGCTTGGAGGGAGGTTGGGGATGAAGCAGTCCCAGCGGCAGGCGAGGTAAAAGTGAAGGAAGACTGACTGGCAGGTGAGGCCTTAGTGACAGAGGCTGAGGCAGCATCTAGGGAAGAAAGAGAAGATGACACTGTTTGGGAACTCTTTCCAGTTGCATATCACGGAGCACGGGGAGTTCGGGGCATCAGTACAACTCACAAAGGTTTCCTTTCAATGCTTACCATTCTCCAGATTCCACTGAGGGCCCAAATGGATTTCCCACATGAGAAAGACCAAAATAAAACCCAAGGAGACAAAGCCTCTCTGGAGTGTGAAACTGATCTATATTCCTTACCAGTCTTATCCTCTAAGACCTTGTTAAACCACTGTAACGAAGCTTTCTTTTCCAAGTCCAAGTCCTCAGCAGTGATCGAATAACCAAGCTGGGGAGGTGGAGGCTACCAAAGAGAAAAAGAAGTTGTCAACCAGGAGAAACTGGAAGGATCCTGTCTTTAGCCTTCCTAAGGCAGAGCTAAGCTGGGGTGGGCAGAAGCAGAGGGACAGGACATACCAAGGTCAGCTGGTCTCCTCGCCTGGAGGGCAGCAGCTGGACCTTCCGTTTACGTTGCCCAGAGCTGCCAGGTGTTGATGGGGAATTCCACGAGCTCTGCTTCTTCCATGTGGTTGGATCTGCAACTAAAGAGAGAGAGATTTAATTTTCTTCTTCCTCTCTGCCAGACACGGACAGGTTATCTATCTCCTATTTTTAACATTGAATTTTCACTGGGTATCTCTGAAAAATTCTGTTCTCCATGATTTGGGCTCCTGGATGGTATTTGCTAAATTATTTCTAATAGTCAAGAGGATATAAAGGGAGAATTGCTCCAAATCAAAGTATACAACTATTTCTGTTGTTCAGTCATGTCCAACTCTTTACAACCCTATGGACTGTAGCCTGCCAGGGTCTTCTGTCCATGGAATTTTTCAGGCAAGTATACTGGTGTGGGCTGCTACTTCCTTCTTCAGGGATCTTCCCTACCCGTGGGCTGAACCCGCGTCTCCTGTACTGGCAACTGGATTCTGAGCCACTGAACCATCAGGGAAGCCCACAGAACTGCTTACTGGACAATAGTCTTCTGGACTGCGCACAGATACCTCAACCTAAGTTTATCCATAGCCTACTATTATCACATATTGTACTGTATTTCTCTGAGTCGCCTTTCTCCCTTACCCGACTATAAACCTCTGAAAGACAGAAACATCTATCTCTGTATCCACCAGGCCCTTCACAAAGCAATGCTCAATACTTCCACCAATAGCCGCTCTAGTGCACTCATCAACTTACCCTTCTCTCCCTGGGACTCCTTGTCTGTTACCAATGGAGTTGAAGAACTAGAATGATGAGAAAGCTCCTCTTCTCTGCAGGAGGAAAAGGCAGAATTAAGTTTAGAAAGATTTGCTGACAGAAAATACTGGATAACTTCCTGCACCTGCTTGCCTACCAACGGGTCTAGAACCACCATGATTTAGGACCTCAGTATGCCAGGACAAAAAAAACAAAAGTTAAAAGAAAATCCCAATAGAAATGAATGGAGGCAGTTTATGGAAGCCATGGAGAAAGCTTTGTCTTAAAACAACCACAAATCAACACTTTTCAAAACCTTACTTACAGCCCACCAAGTTCTTAAAAGTTCTAGTCACAGGTCTGATCCCTAAAGTTGACCTCAGGTACCCAGAGGGTCGGCTGGAGTTCAGAATGTGAAGCCCACTGACATTATTCACTGTCTGCTCTGTTCTGTATGGTCTCTACTCCTGCACCCCCATTACTCATGCTACAGTGTGGGGAAGAGAGCCAGAGGCCTCTACAGTTCAAAAAACCACCACCACAGTTCAAAAGCATCAATTCTTCGGCGCTCAGCTTTCTTTGCAGTCCAATGCTCACATCCACACATGATTACTGGAAACACCATAGCCTTGACTAGATGGACCCGATTACCTTACCTTATTTTCTTTGCTGGCCTCTCTGGTGTCTGGGAACGGGATGAGGCTGGGCTGGAGAACGGAGATGAACTGGGACCACTCCTCTTCCACAGCTAAAATTCAAACACAGGTAAGACTGACCCTAGTCGATAGTTTATCATCTGACCTTTGATAAAGTTCTTTTCATCACTGCATATAACATCTCCTTTTAAGTAAGTAAGAAAAAGTCTGAAGAACTATGGCATGCTAACTAATAAAAGTAGAAGGGAAGAATGTACTTTTGGCATATGTCAAAAAAGAGGATGTCACAATCACTTAACAGTTTAGAACTAAGATGTACACATGTTTGCTCCATATTATCTATGGAAATGACAAAAGTCAATTAAGAAACTGTTCCAATGAAGATAACCCAGTAAAATAGTTTTGGTCTCATTAAATTTTCAGTTTTAATTCATTAACTTTATTTTTAAAAATACATTATCATGACATTTATTACTTTTGTAACATCAGTGGTATTTACCGTTATATGATAATTATCCATCCATCTGTCTCCTCACCAAGTGGAGTTCCCTGATATCAAAGGTAGTCTGGGGACTTCCCTGGTGGTCCAGTGATTAAGAATATGCCTTGCAATGCCAGGGACACCAGTTCAACCCCTGGCCCCTGAAGACCCCACACGCTGTGAAGCAACTAGCCTGTGCACAACTACTGAGCCCATGTGCTGCGATCACCGAAGCCTGCGCCTATGAGCCTGTGCTCCCCAACAAGAGGGGCCCCTGCAAGAGAAGCGGTCAAGAGCAGGCCCTGCTCGTGGTGACCAGAGAAAGCCCACAAACAACGAAGACCCACCATGGCCAGAAGATAAAATAAATCCCAACAAGTACACAGAGAAAATGTCCTTCCTGTCTCAACAGTTATTACCAGTTTCTAATATATCCTGTCAAAATTATTCTATACACATCAAAAGATGAAAGAACTAGCAGCATGAATAGAGGGCACTGTACACAGCGCTGCACTATGCATTTTTAAAAATATATTTTGAGATCATTCACATCATTATCTATTAAAGCTGCCTTATCCTTTTTAACAGTTATGTACTATTTCAGCTTACAGAAATACTTTAAGTTATTCAACCAGTCGCCTAAAAAGGCATGCTTACATTGCTTCCAAGCTTCCACTATTAAAACAATGGTACAATCAACATCCTCTGTATGTCTTTTGAGTGTATGTGTAGGGTTAACTCCTAAAAGTAAACCTGCTGGATCAAAGGGCATGTGCATCTCTACTGTTGATAATACTGCCACCCCGCCCTCTAGGGAACTGTACCAACTGGTGATCCCAACCAGCAATGCATGAGAAGCCCATTTTTCTTGTTTTCTTTGGCCATGCCACAAGGCTTGCTGGATCTTAGTTCCCCTACCAGGGATCAAACTGGGGTCCCAGCAGTGAAAACACCGAGTCCTAACCATTGGACAACTAAGGAAATCCCTATTTTGCAACCTGCTAAACCTTCTAAAACAGATTAGAGTGGCAGTACCCACTGATTGATACTAACATCAAAAAGGAAGCAGCCAGATTTTATCTATTCCTGACAAGATACAATCCAAAGTACAAGTGTGTGTGGTTAGTCACTCAGTCATCTCTGACTCTTGGTGACCCCCATGGACTGCAGCCCACCAGGCTCCTCTTTTCACGGGATTTTCCTGGCAAGAATACTGGAGTGGGTTGCCATCTCCACCTCCAGAGGATCTTCCTGACCCAAGGATCGAACCCACGTCTCTGGGGTATCCTGCACCGACAGGCAGATTCTTTAGCACTGAGCCACCTGGGAAGCCCTAACCCAAAGTACACAGTACCAAAGAAAATCAAAGTACACAGTACCACCTATGCAATATTCTGCCAAATTAACTGAACTCAAATGTAGTCAAGCCTTGGAAAACAGGAGATAGAGTACAAGTTAAAATGACACCATGATGATGCAAACTTAATCCAAAATATAAGAAATCCTACAGAACAAAATCATCTACTTTTTTCAAAAGCATGAAAAAAAAAGCGTAGCAACAGTAGTAGTATAGATTAAAAGAGCCTAAGAGAAATATGAACCAAATGTCAAGAATTTTTTGGTCCCTGATTCAAACAGTGTAACTGCAATAAGACAGTTTACGGTAATAAGTGCAATTTAAATACGGAGTGATATTAGCTAATATTAAACAGCGATTATAAATCATTTAAGAGGAATAATGGTATTGTACTTATTAATGTGAAAAAAATCTGAAAATATACTGAAGGACATATAGCTGAAATGACATGTTTGCAGTTGATTTTTTTCGCTTAAACTTTTTCTTCATTTTTTATTTATTTATTTTTGGCCATGCTGGGTCTCAGCTGCTATGCGAGGACTCTCTCCTGTTGCAGTGCACAAGCTTCTCCCTGTGTGACTTCTCTAGTTGTGGCTAGTGGGCTCCAGAGTGGGGGCTCAGTAGCTGTGGCACATGGACTTAGCTGTCCTGCAGCATGTGGAACCTTCCCAAACCAGGGATTGAACCCACGTCCCCTGCATTGGCAAGCAAATTCTTAACCACTGGATTACCAGGGAAGTCCTCCATTTACTTTAAAACACAACAGCAAAACAAATGGGGGGCAGAGGTTGATGGAACACGATTGACAAAATGCCATTAACTATTAAAGCTACATGGAGGTCCATCAAGCATTTTCTGTGTGCATTTGAAATCTGACAATATGCTTGCTGTTATGATTAAATGAGGAAATGTATGTAAAGTGCTTGGTTAGTACAGAGCCTCGCCCAGAGAAAGTGCTCAAGGCAAAAGTTGTTATTATCCTTTTAGCATTCCTACAACTGAGACCTTCATCTTTCATTTATATTACTCTAAGAGCCTTCTGGATTAACTCAAAATTTTTCTCCCCTGGAAAATCTTCCTCCACCAAGCTTTATTTTTACTTAGCTACTATACATTACTAAACAGGCACTGTAATGGGTACTTTGCAAACACTACCTTCAGTCTTTACAATAATCCTTCAGAAATGAGAAACAGAATTTAAGTGATTAACCCAAAGCCTCAGAGCTACTAAGTGTCAGAGCCAAGACTGGAACCCACATCTGTATATCTGTGTGGTAGCAAAGTTTGCTCTGTTCCCTAGGCTGTATACTACATTCTCTTTCTAAAAAAGAGAATGACAACATTTAAAAAACTTTCATCAAATTCTCAATGCCTAGAGGGTAAATTTCTTTTATGATCCAATGCAATCTGGACTACTTGGTCTACCTGTTGATAAAATTAGTATCATCCACTGAATTATGCGCCTCTTGCCCATTTATCTGCAGTAATGGCTCTGTCTTGTATCAGGTTTCCACACATTACTGCTCTACTTTTGGAGCTTTCTATTCTGCTCCACTCGTCCGTAGTTATCACTCAAGGGTTTTTATCTGTTAGTGGTACTCTCACTATCTGACGGTAGAAGGAGGGAGTGAACACTGGCTGATCGATTAATTAGTGCTGGGAACCCAAGTCTCCCAGAGCACAAGATGAATGTACCTGAGAGAGCCCGCGAGTGGAGCTGTAAGAACTGGTGATGGCATTGCGGCTGGAGCTGGGGATGCCGCCTGTGTATGTGCTGCTTGTCAAGGAGCTCACGGAAGACGTGCGGGATCTCTTATTCAGGTGATCATCTGAGTTCTGTGAATTAAGACCTCTCTTGAGAGACCCAGGCCTAATAAGAAGGGGAGAAGATAGTTAGATGCATTATTAAAGACATTCTTTTAAGGTTTTGTCCATGGACACAAAATCTTTCTTTAAAAAAAAAAAGTCAGGAAAAAAAATAATGCTCTTAATTTTATTATTAACAATGTGGCTAAATATATCTGACAGTCAGGAAGAGAAAGTCAAATATTTTTAAAATAAAATGTGTGAGTCCACTGACTAACATTCTAGAAGATGCACACTAAACTAGTGACAGAAAACAAATAAGCAGACACCTGGAGAACAGGACAAGCTGAAAGGAGGTATTACTAAGGGACACAGGAAAATTTTTGGAAGTGACAATACATTAATTATCTTGACTGTTGTGATGATTTCACAGATGTATGCATGTCACAATTTGTCAAATTATATACTTTAAACAGGCAGCTTATTATTCGCCAATTATACCCTGATAAAACTGTTTAAAAAAAAAATCAGAGTTAAGAGAAATGAACTATCTTTTCTAAACTTCCAACTAAATGGAAATTCCCTATACTTCTTTCCTATAGAAGAGCTATTCAATCTCTGTTATGATACCAAACCACAGACCAGTTTATTCTTATACTGGATGAAAATGCTTTTCCCTCTAACTTGGATACACTCGCCAATAGATACTACTTGGAGTTGCGCTGAGCAAGTTGTTTTTCTTTTTTGACCTGACAGTCCTTCCATTTTTTGGAGTGACGTTAAAGTGAAAGTGAAGTTGCTCAGTCGTGTCCAACTCTTTGTGACCCCATGGACTATAGCCTACCAGGTTCCTCCATCCATGGGATTTTCCAGGCAAGAATACTGGAGTGGGTTGCCATTTCCTTCTCCAGATCTTCCCAACCCAGGGATTGAACCCAGTCTCCCGCATTGTAGGCAAACGCTTCACCGTCTGAGCCACCAATATCCAAATTTCCTTATTCTCCTTGAAATTTTTCATCTCTGGGCTAGTATTTACACGCCTTCAAACTGCTTCACCCACCACCACCCCGTATGATTTTGGTGTACATCCTCTCTTACAGGGCAGTACACCAAACCAGACACGCTCCACTGACAATCCAAGGAGAAGTTAAAGCAGGACTACCACTAACCAGCCTCATGTCAGTTTCTGTTCTTCTATCAGCACAGACTAGGAGTACATTAGCTTTTTAGGGCTGCTATACTATACTACTAGCTCAGATTAAGTGGATCAATTCCTCCTCAAATGTATTTAAACTCAAATGTAGAGATGTAATATTTTATCTTTGATTTCATATCGTCGCATTTTATCCATTGCACCAACCTTGGGAGCTTCTGTTCATACACCTGGTTATTAAATATATTTATAAACCCTCTTAGCTTTAGCATATTTTGTCCATACTAGTGAAAAAACATTAAAAGGAATTAGAAGATAATAATTGTGGCAAGCTACTCAAAACGTTCCTCTCTGATTTCAAAGATGTGAACCTGAACTAATAAAGCAATACAAAAGCAAACAAGAAAGTCAACGGGACAATTAACTCTGATAAAGCCCCTTTCCAGACTGTACATCTCATCTACGGATTTTCACTTACTTAGGCACAAAAGCAGCAGGGACTCCATTGGCCAACAGGGGCTCAAATGCTGAATGTCCGCTCCCACTGCTATCATGGCGTCTACAACAAATCAAAAAACTCAATTAAATGAAATTACTTCTCCCCCAGGCCCAAATCATAGTCCCATATTCTTGGGACTTTATACTATTTCTATGGAGCACAGGTTCCCTACTAGACAAGAGGAGGGATGCTTCAACCACAAAGATTCCGAAAGTTAAATTTATCCTAAGATTTAGGGCAGTAAGAAAAGTATGAAAATATTTCAAGACCTTTTGAACTATTAAGTTGTTTCAATTATTTACTGATTTCTCACCGAAGTATCAGAATCACAAATTTACCATCCTACCATACCCAAATTAAAAACAAAAACAACACTTTAGGGGTCAACCCACACTCCTATGGTGCCCTACAGGTTAATATGGCAAGTCTGTTAAGGAAAAACTTGACCTATCACATAGAAGGGCCTTTGCATGGTGCACATAATTATCGCTTATTCCTATCATGGGAAAGATAATATAGAATCCTCAGGTATAGGCTCACTAGAGTCAAGAAAAATTACCACCCTAGAGAACATGAGAAACCTAGATGAACCATGAAGTTATTTCTTCTCTTACCTCCACACCTCCTCACCCCCTGTCACTCCTGCTTAGCTAGCTGACATTAGGTCAAACTGCTCACGTGCCAATCATATTTATCTCTAGTCATCATTACCTGATCTTTCTATGACAAATACACTTGCATTAATATTTCCCTACTCAATTTTGTCATCTGAAGTAACAAAGCTGACCAATTTTTACCCTGTAGGATATGAACAATCTTATCTAGGTAATAGGGCCAATGATTTTTAAGTGTGAGGCTGCTGTCTCCTCAGAGAACACTTCTTTGACCACCATATATAAAGAAGCCCCCTTCTCATTACCCTCTGTTATATTACTATTTATCTCTATATGCTTATAATCTATGATTACCTTGGTTTATTTTTATTATCCTTTTCCTCTGGTCTCTCTCAAACCCACAAGGACTCTGTCTTGTTCAAAGCTCTACTTACTGAAGCTGGAATAGGCTCTGATATATAGTGGGTGCTCCATTTACTAAACTAAAACAACAACTGGAATCCTTAACTGACTCCTTGCAAAGCCTGTTAAAAGCCTTAATAGACTGTTTACTGCATTGTCAGTACAGAAAAGCAAATAACAAAAGTGGTTTTAGTCTCATTACTGACATATCTACCATACTCTAGTCCTCACTTCTGTTTGCCAAGCACTCCCCTCAGCACAATTACAACAGTGAAATCGGTGGTTACCCAAATAATTAAATGCCGGGAGACTGTGGGGGAAGACTTCAAGCATGCTCTCTCAAAAATAAAATTTAACTGATTTGTATCAAAAGTACAAGGTTAACCTGGATAATAGTTGCCAGCTTATCTCTAGTACTTACAGAAAAAAAAAACCACAAAATTTATCTAACATGTGTCTCAGAAAATGAACAGCACTAATTTAAGACCTTATTATCAACCACTTCTATGAAAACCAAAGAAGGGAATCTACTAAGGGTCACAAACTGGAGCTGGCTTGTGTATCTTTGGAGAGTTACCCTATATTTCAACAAAACCCGGGAGCCCATGGGAGAAGCCTGTTCATTACTCTGTTGGTCCTGTTACCTTCTTTTATTTTCCTGGCCATCAGCAAATATTTGGTCTTCCTCTTCCACTGTCCTTTTCTTTCTCTCTTTGAGGGCATTCAGTACAGTCTCCTTTGCACATGGATCTGGGGCACTAATTGATGGTGAAGACAGTGTTGAGTTGATAATCTGTTCTGGTCTGCAATGAAAGACAAAATTCCAGCATCAAGGTATTCTAATTACCAAGCCACAGAGCACAGACTTCAGTCACTGGACATCAGAAGCTAACTAGTAAGCAAAAGTATAATTTTATACACTCACAGAAATCACCCTACGCTATCAAAGATACAGTCTAAGGCAAAAGAAACCGAAACATGGTTCAATTACTAGAATCTGGGATTTCTCATTCAAATAAGCAGCTACTTCCTTTTTTGCTTTGTCAGAGAAATAACCGAAAAAGAATAAAGGAAATACAAACATTGGACAATACTCACACTGGAGATCGAGTCAGTTTGCTGTCCGGAGGCGCAATCCTCACTGTCACTGGGCTGCACACCATTTTGGAATTACGAGCAGACAGCACGGTCTTCTTGTGACAACCATTCCAGCATACTGTGGGAAGTACCCCCAGCAAGGAATACTGGGCCTGCTGGATTGGATAGCGCCTTCGAGGTGTTACTACAAACCGATGTGATAAAGTCCCACAGTCCCTGTGGAGAATGGGAGATACCAAAGAAGCTTGAAGAAAAGTCAGAAAATTTAAATGATTGAAGAACCACATGGGTTCAGATATTTTTCAGATGCTTTAAACTTCTTTTTAGGCAACAAACAACACACAGTATGTTTATGGCAACTTTCCCTCATTTCATCTAAGGGCAGAAAGTGACAGCTGCATAACAGCTGTCCCTACAATGGACTTCCAACAACTTGAGAGGGAAATTGAAAACCATGCCCACACAAGTAAATTACAATGGAAGAAAAGTGGGGGACAGGATGTGCAGGGAGGAACTTTTCAAGATGCTTCAATCTTTTAAGCGAGGTCACCATTGATATATACTCAAAGTTAAACATTTTAAACACCTAAATGTTCATCTTAACTAAATGTACTTTTCATGAATCTAGTATTTTCATCAAATTTTTGTATTCTCCTGGATCATCTTTATCAAGTTTTATTGATCAAAGAGATGTTTCCTGCGAACACCTCTTTGAGCCTGGCTAAACCACAGAATTTCAATTAGTGATCCAAAGGGGTGGGGGGTGTGGAGATGGATCTAACAAATCATTTCTAACTACACTTGAAAGATAAATACATTTTCACGAGAAACAGGGATAGTTAATGGTTTATCAAGTATTCCGCTAAATCTATACTGCATGAAAATTCAGATGGTTTTAAGAACTGAAAGCAAGGGAACCGCTGTGGCATTACATCTCATTCCAAAGGGTAAAGGCGGACAGGAGTTGGTAGACACGCATCAGGGTGATTAAGAGGACAAAACGACACAGAATCCACTTTGGACTTAATGAAAAAGAAAATCGGATTTAAAAGTCAAGTCCTCAACTCAAAGTCAGCGACAGAGGAGAGGCTGTGGGGAAGACGAGGGTTATCTTACCGGTAGGAAGGCCTCCTGGAGGGTCGGAGAAGAGACGCGGGGAGGGAGGAATGAATCTGAACACGCTGGGGACGCGCCGACTGGGCCGGCGATGCGGTGCGGACAGGAGGGCGGCGGCCCGGCCTCTCCCGCAGGTCCCTGGCCTCCGGGGCGGGGGCAGGCTGCGGGGGGCCGGGCTTGCCCAGGTAACTGCCCATGAGGAGCAGTTCAGCGGGGTCAGGTCCTTCGAGCGGGCTCCGCGGCTCTAGGAGATTTCCGTTTGCTACCGATTTGGCAGGAGGCGAGGCGAGCAGTGTTCGCTGACGCCGCGCGTTCCAAACGAGCGAGGAGAGGGCGCGCGAACCTCTGGGCTCGCGGCTTAGTCCCCACCAGGCCGCAGTAGCCCCCACAGCCAACCAGGCCAGCGCAGCCGCCGCCGGCACCAGGTACAGCACGAGGCCAAGCAGCGACAGGCCGAGAAGCGCCGCCCCGGCCGGCCCGCCACAGCCCCAGCCGCGGCCCTCCCTGACACTCGCTATCGGCCGCCGCCGGTCGCCTCCCCCAGCCGCCGCAGCCGCCGGAGACATCGCGGCTCCGCGCCGCGGAGAAGACTTAAATATCCCAGCGTGCACCTCGCCGCGCCCGCGTCGCCGCGCGCCTACTGCGTCACTGCGCACGCGACGCAGACGCGCGACTGCGACGGGAAACGCTGCTACCTGGCAACGCGCTAGACCCAACCCGTTTCTGAAAACGCCGCCTGGCGAAACAGCGAGTTCTGATTCTTGACGTTTCCCGCATGTCCGCACAGCACCCAGCAAGAGGTGAGACTTTTGGAAGAATCGCGTTAAGAATAAAAGCGCCGGAAAACGACTACTAAAGTAACGTTTATTTCCTAGATGGTTACACACCCTACAAGAGATTATCAGCCACTCTTCACAAGTGCTACCTGAGGTTGCGAGTTTTTTCAGTTACTGTTTTCTGCAAAAGTATAAACTGCTAAAGGGAGTTGACTTTAACAGCAATAAGAACTAAGGCCAACACTAACCATCCTCCTTAAAGGTGCATCGAGTACCAATAAAAGGGCTTCCCTGACGGCTCAGTGGTAAAGAATCCGCCTGCAGTGCAAGAGCCGAGGGTTCTATCCCTGGGTCAGGAAGATCCCCTGGAGGAGGAAATGGCAACCCACTCCAGTATTCTTGCCTGGAAAATCCCATGGACAGAGGAGTGTGGCAGGCTACAGTCCATGGGGTCGCAAAGAATTGGACACGACTGAGCACGCACGCAGTACTAATAAATTTCCCGATTAAACAGGCTAATAGTCTAATAAACTGCAGATCAGACCTGAAGCTGCAATATAAGTTTGCGCTTCTGCAGAACACATTTATAAATGGGGGCAAAATTAAAGTGTTAGTCGCTCAGTTGTGTCCAACTCTGGGAGTCCATGGACCGAAGCCCACCAGCCTCCTCAGTCCATGGGTATCCTGCATTGCAGGCAGATTCTTTACCATCTGAGCCACCAAGGAAGCCCCATAAATTGGGGCAATTACTTATCAAATTTCCCATCATCCTCAGAACCGGGTAGATTTTTAGGATTTGTGATCAATTTACCTGTGTTAAGTTTGGTGGCCTGAGAAAGTAGATTAGTGTTTGTCGACTACTGGGTCAGGGTATGGTGAGTGACTTAAAGGGTAGAGTTTCCTTTTGGGGTGACAAAGATGTTTAAAAATTAGATTACAGTGATGTTGCATAGCCCTGTGAATTGTATGATATTTAAATTATATCTTAATAGAACTGTTTAAAAAAAAACTTGGTGGTCTGCCAATTCAGGCTTTGGCCTAGCTCGGCTTCCTCAGTCATTCATTCATTGATTTATTCCTTCTGTTACTGATATACATTAAAGAGATTAATGGGGAGAAACACAGGGTCTCTCATCTTTAGAAGCCCCTGGTTTAGTACAGAAGAAAAATGTGTAAATAGAAAGTTATGATTCATGTACCCCAATGTTCATCGCAGCACTGTTTATAATAGCCAGGACATGGAAGAACCCTAGATGTCCATCAGCAGATGAATGGATAAGCAAGCTGTGGTACATATACACAATGGAACATTACTCAGCCATTAAAAAGAATACACTTGAATCAGTTCTAATGAGGTGGATGAAACTGGAGCCCATTATACAGAGTGAAGTAAGCCAGAAAGATAAACATCAATACAGTATACTAATGCATATATTGGAGAAGGCAAGGGCACCCTACTCCAGTACTCTTGCCTGGAAAATCCCATGGACAGAGGAGCCTGGTGGGCTGCAGTCCATGGGGTCGCTAAGAGTCGGACACGACTGAGTGACTTCACTTTTTTTCACTTTTCACTTTCATGCACTGGAGAAGGAAATGGCAACCCACTCCAGTATTCTTGCCTGGAGAATCCCAGGGACGGGGGAGCCTGGTGGGCTGCTGTCTATGGGGTCGCATAGAGTCGGACACGACTGAAGAGACTTAGCTGAATGCATATATATGGAATTTAGAAAGATGGTAACAATAACACTATATGCAAGACAGAAAAAGAGACACAGATGTACAGAATAGAGTTTTGGACTCTGTGGGAGAAGGCGAGGGTGGGATGATCTGAGAGAACAGCATTGAAACATGTATATTATCAATTGTGAAACAGATCATGAGTCCAGGTTTGATGCATGAGACAAGTGCTGAGGGCTGGTGCACTAGGATGACCCAGAGGGATGGGATGGGGAGGGAGGTGGGAAGGGGGATCAGGATGGGGAACATATGTAAATCCATGGCTGATTCATATCAATGTATGGCAAAAACCACTACAATATTGTAAAGTAATTAGCCTCCAACTAAAAAAATAAATGAAAAAAATTAAATGAAAAAAATTTTAAATTAAATTAAACTAAAAAAAAAGAAAGTTACGATTCATTGTGGTAACTGTGATAAGAGGCATAAAAAGGGAAGGAATGATAAAGGGGAAGATGGGTTGGGAGGTGCTATTTGAGCTGAGAGAACTTGCTTAAAGCAGGTTCAAGAAGCATGAAGAAGTGTTTTGCAGAAGCACAGAGATGGAAAGGAGTATGATGTAAGAGTCTGCAGTTTGTTATGGCTGGAGATTAGGCTGTTTAGGGCAATAGGGAGGCTGGGAAGACTGGAGGGGCTCAGAAAAGAGGCCTCTGGAGCAACGTGGAGACATGAGAAAAGCAAGCAGTTCTCTTCCCTGGCCCATAGCTAGTGCAATTCTGTTTCTATCTGTTTAATATACTGTGATTCCATAAAAAACTCCATTTGAAAAGGAAAGAGTGTGGGCATGTTACTTAAAAAAAAAATCCAAAAAAAAAAAAAAGAAAAGAAATCCTGGGAATTCTCTGCAGGTCCAGTGATTAGGACTCTGTGCTTTCAATGGTCAGGAAACTAAGATCCCATAAGTGGCAGTGCATAGCCAAAAAAAGAAAAGAGGGAAAAAAAGCTCAATAATATTAGTGTAGGTGGAATAGTGGGACAAAAGCCAAGCTGCAGTGGGTTAAACAGTGACTGGAAGATGAGGAAATGGAAGCAGTGGATACAGACTTCCCATTCAAGAAACTTCAATAATAAGGGAAGAAGAAAGATGGATTTATTAATAGCTCAGCAAGGGTCTTTTAAATTATCATGTATTAGTGGTGTTCCAGAGAGGTAAAAGCCATCACTAGTGTACAGATGCCATAAGACTAAGATTTCTTAGGAATTAATGTAAATAAAGAGGTTCAAGGCCCGAGCGCTGGGCACCCCAGTGTTAAGAGGTTAAAGAAATGAACACACTCAAAGCACAAATCATTTAGTAAAATATAGATGAATATAACTACATTAAAATTTAATACTTCTATATTAAGCCACTAGGGAAACATGATTCTAATTCATATAACCAAAAAGGATTAGTAACTAGAATTTATTAGGACTGAATCAGTAACAAATCAGTAACAAAAAGATGACTCAATTATTTAGAAGGACAGTGATATTAAATGCAATTTACTGAACAGGAAATCCAATAATAAATATATACATATGTACATGTAAATGTGTATATACATGTAGTACATACACACATATATATTTTTAATCTTACTGGTAATTTAAGAAGGGTTTATTGCTGTAACAGGGCTTCGCAGGTGGCACTAGTGGTAAAAAACCCACCTGCCAATGCAGGAGACATAAGAGACGTGGGTTCAATCCCTGGGTCGGGAAGATCCCCTGGAGGAGGGCATGGCAACCCACCCCAGTATTCTTGAGTATTCTTGCCTGGAAAATCCCCATGGACAGAGGAGCCTGGGGGGCTACAGTCTATAGGGTCCCACAGAGTCAGACATGACTGAAGCAACTTAGCACTCATGCATGCACATCAGTGTAAAAAGGTAACATCTGGCATTCATTTGCACAAGTAGAAAAATGTAATAGTTCAACAAGATCAAGTTTTGGCAAGGATGTGGAACAAATGGAATTTGTGTGCTATATGTGGATATGTAAAACAATATAATTTTGAGAGCAGTTTGGCAATATCACATAAAGTTGAAGAAATAATGTATCTCATAACCCTGCAGTTCCATTTCTGGGTACAAAGATAGTCACTGCAGCATCATTTGTATAACTGACTATTTGAATACATCCAAATGTCTACTGTAGACTAACGCAAGAACAGATGAATAGTGGTATAATTCACATAACAAAATACCACAAAACTGCTGGAAATTAACCACCTATCTGACCATGATTAAGTGATACCCCAACAGTCCTATAGACAACTATACAAATGGGCACAATTTTTGAGGCAACTGTTTGCAGGCAGGGGACAACAAGAAGCACAGGCTGATCTCTGAGCAGAAACTCATAAGGTGAGTCCCCCAGATCTAGCTCCTCTACCCGGGGGCAGTTTCTGCAACTACTGCAGAGAGCTGGAGCCTCAGCAGGGTCGGGAGAGCCCACTGGGCTCAGGAGGCAGAGCCCAGGCTTCGAAACCACTGAAATGGCTGGAAACCACTGGGCAGAGCAAGAAAACGGAGGGTGCCACGCGGACAGTTACCGAAGTCTGTGTATGGGACCCCACAGATCTCTGGGGGGATGCTGATGTGATGGTTAATTTTATGTCTCAACTTGACTGTACAATGGGGTGCCTGGATGTTCTGTTGAACATCATTTTTCAGTATATCTATGGGAGTGTTTCTGGATGAGATGAACACTGAATTGGTAGACTGAATAAAGAGATTGCCCCTTCCACAGTAAGTGGGCCTCGACCAATCCACCGAAGGTCTGGATAGAACAAAAGGGATGAGAAGCAATTCTCTCTGCCTGTCTTTGAGCTGGCCATCAGCCTCTTCCTGCTTTCAGACTTGGATTTGGACTAGAACTCCAGCTACTTACTGGCTCTTCTGCTTCTTGGACTGAACTACACCATCAGCTCTCCTGGGTCTCCAGCTTGCTGACTACACATCTTGGAATTTCTCAGTTTTCTATAATGACATGAACCAATTCCTAATTCTTCCTAGTAGTAATAAATATGTATGTGTTTATCTCTAGTTTATTGGCTCTGTTTCTCTGGAAAACCC